CAGGTTAGGTTTAAGATTAAGGTTAGGTTTAAGATACCAGGTTAGGTTTAAGATACCAGGTTAGGTTTAAGATACCAGGTTAGGTTTAAGATTAAGGTTAGGTTTAAGATACCAGGTTAAGTTTAAGATACCAGGTTAAGTTTAAGATACCAGGTTAGGTTTAAGATACCAGGTTAGGTTTAAGATTATATTATCGTTTTTTTCTTTGCATGTCGAGACCAAAGAAATTATGTCATCTACGAAATGAAAAAAATGTTGAAGCTTAAATAATTCTTTGTCCAAAATGTTGAAGCTTAAATAATTCTTTGTCATTGAACCATGAAATGAAAACCCGAAGAACAAATTCAATTTGACACACGAAAATATGTGATTTTGGAGTATACATACCAAAGAAATTTTCCGTCGAAGAAACTATTTTAAAATATAAATTCTAAATTATTCTCCGAAAAAATAAATTGCCTACCTTTTAGCGTTTTCTTCCCTTTCCGTCCGTAATCTGCTGCGTTCGAGACACTGTGTGTTTAGACTGTTCTATATGATGACGCTAACCGCGCAGCTGGCGTGTATTGGAAATCTTCTCTGTTTTAGACGCGCAGAAGAGTTATTTTGTAACCTTCAGCGATAACTTTCCAACTTTATTAAACAAAAAGAACCAAGAATGAAAATAAAATATGCTATAACTGTTACAAATGATCTTATTACATTATTTAGAGGGGTAAAATGTAATATATATTCCCCTGAAAGCAATTTGTTCAGCATCAGTTCTTAAAATCTTAAAAGGAATAAACATGGGATATCGTATTTCCTCTTTTCCAGGTTTAGGATTCGAGATTCATCTATTATTTAAATATAGTTTAACCTGAAATCTTCCTCATAATTATTACTTACTCATGTTTCTAAGCTAAGTAATTATTTGTTTTGGATCATCATTGTATGGTTAATTGTATTTCTTTTCTTTCTCTTATTTTGATCAAATTTAAGTTATTTTAAACCAAACCATTTATTTAAGGTGGATGTGTTTTAACCGCGTCTTATTAATTTACGCTATGTATGAAGTCAATTTTTTTCGCGGACATTTGTACAACAAACTTAGTGCAAAAATAATGCAATATAAAGAGAGTATTAAGATACCAGCGTAATTTTCTACCATGGATTGGATCAAGGATTTTTTCCAAGAAGGGGGGGGGGACCACAGTAAAAAACAATCCATTTTAACTCTTCAATTTCCTGGCAAGCAAAATAAAAGTTGCCAAACGTGAAATTACTATTTCATAGCTGGAGGGGGGTGGAGTGATTGAGAGAAATTTGTTGATAAGCGAAAAAAAAAAAAACAACAACACACACGCACACGCACAAACGTGAAAATCATAGGTAGACGAGGGGTGGGGGGGGGGTTGACAGATATTTGCTGACAAGTAATGAATTCTAATGCTTTAATATCTATTACTTCTCATACAAACTTAAACTGGGTCTGCGTCACAAAAGTAGTCTCCGTTTTAAGTCGTGGCGGTCTAAAGGTAACTTTTTATTTGCTTTTTTTTTTTTTTATCAGTTTAATATCTCTAAAAACTCAACGGAGGGGGGTGGGGGGCGGACCCACCACCGCACCCCCTCAAGATCTGCGCATGGAACATAATTAAAAATTAGACATTTCGAAGAATTATGACCCCAATGAAAAAAGTACGTTTCAATTATTTGATATTTCTAGACCTAATGTTTTCAACAAGTTTAAGAAAAATAAGATCTAGTAAAATGATCAATATCCAAAGTATTACCTTTTCTTGTTAACAAAAACCGGAAAACAATATTTTATATCTTACTTAAAGATACCAGATTAGTGTAAGATACCAGGTTAGGTTTAAGATACCAGGTTAGGTTTAAGATACCAGGTTAAGTTTAAGATACCAGGTTAAGTTTAAGATACCAGGTTAGGTTTAAGATACCAGGTTAGGTTTAAGATACCAGGTAAGGTTTAAGATACCAGGTAAGGTTTAAGATACCAGGTTAGGCTTAAGCTACCAGGTTAGGTTTAAGATACCAGGTTAGGTTTAAGATACCAGGTTAAGTTTAAGATACCAGGTTAGGTTTAAGATTAAGGTTAGGTTTAAGATACCAGGTTAGGTTTAAGATACCAGGTTAGGTTTAAGATACCAGGTAAGGTTTAAGATACCAGGTTAAGTTTAAGATACCAGGTTAGGTTTAAGATACCAGGTTAAGGTTAGGTTTGAAGATAAAGGTTAAGGTTAGGGTTAAAGATTGATATTAAAGGAAGGTTTAAAAGTTAATGAGGGGTTGAAGATTTAGATTAAATTTTAGTTCTTGTTTCAGAGTGGAATCTTGATATGGTAACTAATCAAACAAATCTTCATTTTTGAAAAGGGTTAACATAAGAAGGTTTACTATCAAGGTAACCATTAGGTTTCAGATTCAGGTTAGGTTTAAGATTGAATTTAATGTTATGGTTAAGATTAAGATTCAGATTAGAGTTAAGGATGGGTTAAAGAGTAAAAATATGTTTGAGTTAAATTGATGATAAATTAAGGTTGTGATTTAGGTTTAAGTTATGGTTAAAGTTTAGTTTATGGTTAAGAGATAGATTAAGGATAAGCTTGAGGTTTGAAGATTAAGATTGACGTAAAAGTGAAGGTTTACTTCTAGGTTAAGATTCAAATTAAGGTTTGAATTTGGATTACATATAATATTTAGTTTAAGATTAAGAACAAATGTTAAAGTGGAATGCCAGGCCAACTCTTTCTTTTATAGATCTTTGTGGCATCCTTTTTAAAGAATGGTATGAGGCATTAAAAGGCCGATATTAGCTCTGATTTTTTCTTTTGTATATTTTTAAAGAAAAATAAAGAAAAAAGTATTTATATCCAAATCAGATGTTTTCTACTTAAAAGTTTGCTGTAAATGAATGCATCATATAAATGTCTAATAAAATATACAAAGAAATGCTGCAAAGACTTTTTAAATTAATTTTATACCAATTATTTATGAAATTGAAATTCATCATTTGTGAAATATTTTTAAACCTATGGTTAAAAACACCATGAAACTAGTCATAACTTAAGAGAACATGTTTTCCAATCACATTTTAAAGAGAAATTGAACTGAAATTGCAAAAATTTAGGGGAAAAAATAATTTTTTTAAAATTTGTTATTTAACCCGATCAAAATTACACCGATCCTCATCAAAATTTCAACATAATAACTACAAAACTAGTTTATTGCCTTTTTCATGGATTTACTATTAAAGAATATATTTGATTGTCAAGTTCAATTTTTTTTAAACTCCTATTATACCGAATGAGACGAGTTTTCTTCGAGAAATGTTATTTATATCTAATAAATGTACAATTCTGGTTGGGATCGGTTTATTTTTCATCAGGATTGGCCAAACTTTAAAAAAATATGTTTCTGTAAAATTTTAAACTTTCATGCCCATTTCTTATAAAATATGATTAACAAACATGTTTTTCTCCAGTTGTGCCTAGTTTTAAGAATTTAAACACAAGTTAAAAAAAATTATTTGTTTTATTTTAATTATTTTTTTTTCTATTTCTAAAAATTTCTATTCGACTTTTCTCTACATATTTTATTAGGTATCCATGTGATGCATTGATTTATAGCAAATATTTTACAAGAAACATCTAATTTTGATGTAATTTTTTTTCCCCATTTTGTTAAAATAGGAAACTAATTCTATTAAATTATTAAGAGCTAATGTGTGCCTTTCAATGCAGAAACCATCATTTAAAAGGATTGAAACAGAGATCTATAAAATTAAAAGCTTTGGGGATATTCTTTGGGATTCTCCTTAAGCATTATCACAACCTTCACGTCAACCCCTTTGTTTCTTTGGCTGATTTATCTTTACTCATAGTCTTGCAATCAAAGGTTAAAATAATTTTATATTCTCAACCTCATATCTAAAGTCGCCCGGGTTGTGAAATGTTAGAGAAGGATATGGAGATAACGAGCAGTATTCAATCTCAAAGTCCATTAAACAATATACAAAATAAGAGCAGAGGAAACACGGACCTCCGAAACATCAGAGGTGGGATCAGATTCCATGGAGGAGTGAGCATCCCCTGCCGAGCGGTCACAACCGCCGTGTGCTCGTTGTCATGATCAGGAAATAATGGGGGGGGGGGGAATCTGTCGTCAATTCAGTATATAAATAATGGACTAACAATTAATATGAAAAACTTCAGTCAGCATTTGACTGAGAGCGTCTTCTCTATAAATCGTGAAGTGAGGTGTTGATCCTGAACTCGATAGTTCGAATCCAACTGTGGGACATGTACACCGGTTCCTCTGGTGAGACCGTATAAACCGAAGTCCCGTGTCGCAGTAGGTGCTGGCACGAAAAAGATCCCTCCCTGCTCAGTAGTCCTGAGTGTCGAGTATAGTACAGAATATACTGCTCTCTACCAGCAAATGGTGACATCTCCATATGAGTGAACAATTTTCGAAAAATTCAATCAATCACTCACATATTTTACATTGTTCAGGAAGTTTTTAATAAAGTTTCTTTGAGGGAAAAAATCCACCCTATTCTGATAACTAGACCATCAGCTTTCATAGTATTTATCTAGAAACATCTTGCTAGATTTCAACATAATTTCTCCTCATTTAGGTTTTGAAAAATTGATCAAGTTCAATAACAAATCATTCCTTAACTAAATAAACTGATTGCTCAAATTTATTTCTTCAAAGTATGGAACTTTTGTCTTTACAAACAAACATCAACCTCCAGTTTTTTTTGTATATTCCAAATGAAATTTCTAACAAAATTAATTAAACATTTCTTTAATGTTCAATCAAAGCATCATGTTCAAGACAAGATTTAACTTTATTTTAAAAAAATGTCAAAAAAACCGTCATGTTAAAACAAGCAATCAGCGTCATTTTAATTGAAACCCATTTTTCCTGATAAAGCTATGTTTTTGTTTTCATAACTTCTTCGCTTCGTTGACCATACGATATCGGTGTTTTCATCGTTGACTTGAAGGGATTTCATCATCCTCGATACATATATTCTGTCTCACTGGCGTATCTGTAAAACATTTTAAAAATTATACCTAAGAGTCCTAATTCTCTTTTTATCTTTTCTGTTTAAAGGAGATACTAAGATAAATAAAAAAACAGCTTAAAAACTTTTTTACATTCCACTTAGAAACCATACATCAAGCATGAAAATCAGTCAATAACATTTTCACTATGAATATAGTTCAATATTTTTTTTTTTAAAATTAATATCATTGCATCTAATACAAGAGGCCCATGGGCCACATTGCTCACCTCAGCACTGTGGCTAGCATAAAAGCAAAAATTAGTTAATTATTGAAAAGTTTAAACCCAAAAAAGTCCCAACCATTCCTTAAAGGGGATAGGGTATGATTTGCACAAACCTGAGTCTAAACTTCCTGAGAATGCTTCCATATAAATATATGTATGACCAATTACATCTTTGCTATTCTCGACAAAATATTTAAAGAATTTTATTATATATTTCTATGTTAAACTTTGGTCAGCCAGTGTGGCCCTGCCCAACCACCGGGGGTGGTGGTTGAAACAAATTTGAATCTACACTAACTGAGAATGCTTCCGTATAAATATGATCAATCATGGCTTTGCTATTCTTTAGTTTTTAATACATTTTTCCTACATATTTCAATGTGAAACTTTGCTCGGTCATTGTGGACGCTGCCAAGCCCCGGGTGTCATGTCATGATTTGAACTTGAATCTACACTAACCGAGGATGCTTCCAAATGAATATGACCAATCATGGCTTTTTTATTCTTGGGAAGTTATTTAAAGAATTGTCCTCTATATTTCTTTTTAAAACAATGGTCAGTCATTGTGGCCCCGCCCTACCCCTGGGGGTCATGATTTCTATAAACTTGAAGATACACTACCTGATGATGATTCCATATAAATATGACCAAACATGGCTTTGTTTTTTACTAATTCATAATTATGTCCCCTTTGAAGGGGGCATAGCCCTTCATTTGAACAAATTTGAATCCCCTTAACTAAAACATACTTTGTGGCAAGTTTTGTTGAAATTGGCCCAGAAGTTCCTGAGAAGACGATGAAAATGTGAAAAGTTTACAGACTAACGGACAGACAGAGGGACATACAGACTGACAGATGGATGCTGGACAAGATGTGATCAGAAAAGCTCACTTAAGATTTCAGTTCAGGTGAGCTGATAAACTGATTCCAAAACCAAACCTAATTCTCTTATTTGAGGTTTTATTATCCTACCAACTACAACACTGCTTGTTGAAATTAAACTTATATTTTTGGTCTACCTTCATTCTTTCTGTCTTGCTTTAATTCCAAGTTCTCTTCTTTTCCTTGTTCGATTCCACTTGTGCTCGAGACAGGATCTGAAAATTTCAATTGTTCTTTGGAAGAAACCATTCATCAAGCATGGGAAACAGTCAGTTATATTTTCATCATGAATAAAGTTCAATAATTTTAATTTACATTAGTTTCATTGCATCTAGTTTAAACTGAACCCAAAACTTAACCTCTAATTTGGAGTTTTATCATCCTACCACCTACAACATTGGTTGTTGTCTTTTGAATGAAATAAAAAGAATTCATATAGTTTGATAACTAATTGTTGATAAGCTTTGGTCTACCTTCAATCTTTCTTTCTTGCTTTCCTTTCAAGTCCTCTTCTTTTCCTTGCTCCATTCCACTTGTGGATGAGACAGGATCTGAAAATTTCATTTGTTCTTTTGAAGAAATCATTCATCAAGCATGAGAATCAGTTAATTATATTTTCACCATGAATATAGTTCAAACAATATTCTTTACATTAATTTCATTGCATAAAGTTTAAACCGAAACCAAATCAAAAACTCTAATTGGAGTTTTATCATCCTACCAACTACCACATTGCTTGTTGTCCTTTGAATGAAATTAAACAGAATTCATAAAGTATGATAACTAATTGTTGATAAGTTTTGATCTACCTTCTATCTTCTTTTCTTGCTTTTCTTTCATCTCCTCTTTTCCAGGTTTAGAGAGTCGAGATTCATCTATTAATTAAATATAGTTTAACTTGAAATCTTCCTCATAATTATTACTTACTCATGTTTCTAAGCGAAGAAATTATTTGTTTTGGATCATCATTGTATGAAAATCTAATGAAGTAATCAGTATGTGCTTACATTATTCTGTTCTTTCAGTGAGATTTAAGGGGTAAATATATTAAGGTTAGGATTGAGGTTAAGATTAAGGTTAAGGTTAGGGTTAGGGTTAATTTGATATAATGGTTTATGTAAAGATTTAAGTTTGGTACTAAGATCACATACAAAGTATGACTTGAGATTTAAAAGAAAACAAATTTACCACGGAATATATATATTTTGTGAATTAATTTTCAGTTTAATACAGTTGACGTAAAGAAGTTTTCAAGAGAATTGTCTATTCCAATAAATTCCCCTCATGGACAAAGTCAATATTTCATGACTCATATTATCGGGTCAAGAGAAGATATTTATTTATTTGCATGTTTCATTACGCAATTTTTACACTTCGGATCAGGGTCTTCACTGTGACCCTTTCAATACGGTATTACTTATATCTTCAACTTAAGTCATTTTCTCTTATTTATATCTCTAATTTTGATGATCGTTAAAACTACTTTATTTCTTATTAAATCGGTCATTTTTCAACCACATATTGAAGTTTGTTCTCATTCTAAGAAAATATTTTAATCTCCAGCATTAAAAAAAAAGATTCCTTTTCCTCTATTCCACTTACCGGGTTCTTCGACTTTCTTTGACATCTTCCTACTGTCTCGTTTAGTAAAATGGCGGCTCAAACCTACAAGTATGCACGTGACAATAAAAATAGAACTGACGTAAAGGTTCTGGAACTCTCTATGGTAAAATATCTCTCAGTAAAACTGGACCTACAATTATCACGTGATTTTTTTTTTTCTTTGGCATTGACAAGATGCAACTGAGTTACAATAAAAGCCCCATTAGCCTACCCCTAACAAAGAGTAAAAGCTGCATCAATATGCTAATAAACATTCTTTAGAGTAAGAGTTGTACCAAACTGCATGATAGAAAAGAGGGGTTAGGGAGCGGCAGAGAATTATTCTTGTTATACGAAATGAAATTATTATTTTTTTTATTGTAACACTTGCTTCCTTGTGATTTCAATAATCTCTCTATATATCCAAACAAATGATTTCGAAGCAAGCTTTGGACAAAAGGGTATAAAATCTCAATATATACTAATATTTGACTCGAAAAGATCTGTAATTAATCAGCGACTTTCATCTTAAAAAAAAAAATAAAAAGAGCTATAAAATGAACGATCCCATCGGGAATCGAACCCGGCACCCCTTAATCTGAAGTCCGCTGTTCTACCTACTGAGCCAAAGTGTATGATGGAAATGACGAAATAAACTTTAATAGTTTCGCTACACAAAGTATTTAAATTAAAAAAACAATAACCACGCCTACTGAAATCACGTGACAGAAAGTGACATTGACGAGATGGCTCCGGAGCAATCTTCGTAAAACCTCCTACACCCTAACCCTAACCCTAACCCTAACCCTAACCCTCATCTACGAAATGAAAAAAATGTTGAAGCTTAAATAATTCTTTGTCCAAAATGTTGAAGCTTAAATAATTCTTTGTCATCGAACCATGAAATGAAAACCCGAAGAACAAATTCAATTTGACACACGAAAATATGTGATTTTGGAGTATACATACCAAAGAAATTTTCCGTCGAAGAAACTATTTTAAAATATAAATTCTAAATTATTCTCCGAAAAAATAAATTGCCTACCTTTTAGCGTTTTCTTCCCTTTCCGTCCGTAATCTGCTGCGTTCGAGACACTGTGTGTTTAGACTGTTCTATATGATGACGCTAACCGCGCAGCTGGCGTGTATTGGAAATCTTCTCTGTTTTAGACGCGCAGAAGAGTTATTTTGTAACCTTCAGCGATAACTTTCCAACTTTATTAAACAAAAAGAACCAAGAATGAAAATAAAATATGCTATAACTGTTACAAATGATCTTATTACATTATTTAGAGGGGTAAAATGTAATATATATTCCCCTGAAAGCAATTTGTTCAGCATCAGTTCTTAAAATCTTAAAAGGAATAAACATGGGATATCGTATTTCCTCTTTTCCAGGTTTAGGATTCGAGATTCATCTATTATTTAAATATAGTTTAACCTGAAATCTTCCTCATAATTATTACTTACTCATGTTTCTAAGCTAAGTAATTATTTGTTTTGGATCATCATTGTATGGTTAATTGTATTTCTTTTCTTTCTCTTATTTTGATCAAATTTAAGTTATTTTAAACCAAACCATTTATTTAAGGTGGATGTGTTTTAACCGCGTCTTATTAATTTACGCTATGTATGAAGTCAATTTTTTTCGCGGACATTTGTACAACAAACTTTGTGCAAAAATAATGCAATATAAAGAGAGTATTAAGATACCAGCGTAATTTTCTACCATGGATTGGATCAAGGATTTTTTCCAAGAAGGGGGGGGGGACCACAGTAAAAAACAATCCATTTTAACTCTTCAATTTCCTGGCAAGCAAAATAAAAGTTGCCAAACGTGAAATTACTATTTCATAGCTGGAGGGGGGTGGAGTGATTGAGAGAAATTTGTTGATAAGCGAAAAAAAAAAAACAACAACACACACGCACACGCACAAACGTGAAAATCATAGGTAGACGAGGGGTGGGGGGGGGGGTTGACAGATATTTGCTGACAAGTAATGAATTCTAATGCTTTAATATCTATTACTTCTCATACTTCAATATCCAAAGTATTACCTTTTCTTTTTAACAAAAACCGGAAAACAATATTTTATATCTTACTTAAAGATACCAGATTAGTGTAAGATACCAGGTTAGGTTTAAGATACCAGGTTAGGTTTAAGATACCAGGTTAAGTTTAAGATACCAGGTTAAGTTTAAGATACCAGGTTAGGTTTAAGATACCAGGTTAGGTTTAAGATACCAGGTAAGGTTTAAGATACCAGGTAAGGTTTAAGATACCAGGTTAGGCTTAAGCTACCAGGTTAGGTTTAAGATACCAGGTTAGGTTTAAGATACCAGGTTAAGTTTAAGATACCAGGTTAGGTTTAAGATTAAGGTTAGGTTTAAGATACCAGGTTAGGTTTAAGATACCAGGTTAGGTTTAAGATACCAGGTAAGGTTTAAGATACCAGGTTAAGTTTAAGATACCAGGTTAGGTTTAAGATACCAGGTTAAGGTTAGGTTTGAAGATAAAGGTTAAGGTTAGGGTTAAAGATTGATATTAAAGGAAGGTTTAAAAGTTAATGAGGGGTTGAAGATTTAGATTAAATTTTAGTTCTTGTTTCAGAGTGGAATCTTGATATGGTAACTAATCAAACAAATCTTCATTTTTGAAAAGGGTTAACATAAGAAGGTTTACTATCAAGGTAACCATTAGGTTTCAGATTCAGGTTAGGTTTAAGATTGAATTTAATGTTATGGTTAAGATTAAGATTCAGATTAGAGTTAAGGATGGGTTAAAGAGTAAAAATATGTTTGAGTTAAATTGATGATAAATTAAGGTTGTGATTTAGGTTTAAGTTATGGTTAAAGTTTAGTTTATGGTTAAGAGATAGATTAAGGATAAGCTTGAGGTTTGAAGATTAAGATTGACGTAAAAGTGAAGGTTTACTTCTAGGTTAAGATTCAAATTAAGGTTTGAATTTGGATTACATATAATATTTAGTTTAAGATTAAGAACAAATGTTAAAGTGGAATGCCAGGCCAACTCTTTCTTTTATAGATCTTTGTGGCATCCTTTTTAAAGAATGGTATGAGGCATTAAAAGGCCGATATTAGCTCTGATTTTTTCTTTTGTATATTTTTAAAGAAAAATAAAGAAAAAAGTATTTATATCCAAATCAGATGTTTTCTACTTAAAAGTTTGCTGTAAATGAATGCATCATATAAATGTCTAATAAAATATACAAAGAAATGCTGCAAAGACTTTTTAAATTAATTTTATACCAATTATTTATGAAATTGAAATTCATCATTTGTGAAATATTTTTAAACCTATGGTTAAAAACACCATGAAACTAGTCATAACTTAAGAGAACATGTTTTCCAATCACATTTTAAAGAGAAATTGAACTGAAATTGCAAAAATTTAGGGGAAAAAATAATTTTTTTAAAATTTGTTATTTAACCCGATCAAAATTACACCGATCCTCATCAAAATTTCAACATAATAACTACAAAACTAGTTTATTGCCTTTTTCATGGATTTACTATTAAAGAATATATTTGATTGTCAAGTTCAATTTTTTTTAAACTCCTATTATACCGAATGAGACGAGTTTTCTTCGAGAAATGTTATTTATATCTAATAAATGTACAATTCTGGTTGGGATCGGTTTATTTTTCATCAGGATTGGCCAAACTTTAAAAAAATATGTTTCTGTAAAATTTTAAACTTTCATGCCCATTTCTTATAAAATATGATTAACAAACATGTTTTTCTCCAGTTGTGCCTAGTTTTAAGAATTTAAACACAAGTTAAAAAAAATTATTTGTTTTATTTTAATTATTTTTTTTTCTATTTCTAAAAATTTCTATTCGACTTTTCTCTACATATTTTATTAGGTATCCATGTGATGCATTGATTTATAGCAAATATTTTACAAGAAACATCTAATTTTGATGTAATTTTTTTTCCCCATTTTGTTAAAATAGGAAACTAATTCTATTAAATTATTAAGAGCTAATGTGTGCCTTTCAATGCAGAAACCATCATTTAAAAGGATTGAAACAGAGATCTATAAAATTAAAAGCTTTGGGGATATTCTTTGGGATTCTCCTTAAGCATTATCACAACCTTCACGTCAACCCCTTTGTTTCTTTGGCTGATTTATCTTTACTCATAGTCTTGCAATCAAAGGTTAAAATAATTTTATATTCTCAACCTCATATCTAAAGTCGCCCGGGTTGTGAAATGTTAGAGAAGGATATGGAGATAACGAGCAGTATTCAATCTCAAAGTCCATTAAACAATATACAAAATAAGAGCAGAGGAAACACGGACCTCCGAAACATCAGAGGTGGGATCAGATTCCATGGAGGAGTGAGCATCCCCTGCCGAGCGGTCACAACCGCCGTGTGCTCGTTGTCATGATCAGGAAATAATGGGGGGGGGGGGAATCTGTCGTCAATTCAGTATATAAATAATGGACTAACAATTAATATGAAAAACTTCAGTCAGCATTTGACTGAGAGCGTCTTCTCTATAAATCGTGAAGTGAGGTGTTGATCCTGAACTCGATAGTTCGAATCCAACTGTGGGACATGTACACCGGTTCCTCTGGTGAGACCGTATAAACCGAAGTCCCGTGTCGCAGTAGGTGCTGGCACGAAAAAGATCCCTCCCTGCTCAGTAGTCCTGAGTGTCGAGTATAGTACAGAATATACTGCTCTCTACCAGCAAATGGTGACATCTCCATATGAGTGAACAATTTTCGAAAAATTCAATCAATCACTCACATATTTTACATTGTTCAGGAAGTTTTTAATAAAGTTTCTTTGAGGGAAAAAATCCACCCTATTCTGATAACTAGACCATCAGCTTTCATAGTATTTATCTAGAAACATCTTGCTAGATTTCAACATAATTTCTCCTCATTTAGGTTTTGAAAAATTGATCAAGTTCAATAACAAATCATTCCTTAACTAAATAAACTGATTGCTCAAATTTATTTCTTCAAAGTATGGAACTTTTGTCTTTACAAACAAACATCAACCTCCAGTTTTTTTTGTATATTCCAAATGAAATTTCTAACAAAATTAATTAAACATTTCTTTAATGTTCAATCAAAGCATCATGTTCAAGACAAGATTTAACTTTATTTTAAAAAAATGTCAAAAAAACCGTCATGTTAAAACAAGCAATCAGCGTCATTTTAATTGAAACCCATTTTTCCTGATAAAGCTATGTTTTTGTTTTCATAACTTCTTCGCTTCGTTGACCATACGATATCGGTGTTTTCATCGTTGACTTGAAGGGATTTCATCATCCTCGATACATATATTCTGTCTCACTGGCGTATCTGTAAAACATTTTAAAAATTATACCTAAGAGTCCTAATTCTCTTTTTATCTTTTCTGTTTAAAGGAGATACTAAGATAAATAAAAAAACAGCTTAAAAACTTTTTTACATTCCACTTAGAAACCATACATCAAGCATGAAAATCAGTCAATAACATTTTCACTATGAATATAGTTCAATATTTTTTTTTTTAAAATTAATATCATTGCATCTAATACAAGAGGCCCATGGGCCACATTGCTCACCTCAGCACTGTGGCTAGCATAAAAGCAAAAATTAGTTAATTATTGAAAAGTTTAAACCCAAAAAAGTCCCAACCATTCCTTAAAGGGGATAGGGTATGATTTGCACAAACCTGAGTCTAAACTTCCTGAGAATGCTTCCATATAAATATATGTATGACCAATTACATCTTTGCTATTCTCGACAAAATATTTAAAGAATTTTATTATATATTTCTATGTTAAACTTTGGTCAGCCAGTGTGGCCCTGCCCAACCACCGGGGGTGGTGGTTGAAACAAATTTGAATCTACACTAACTGAGAATGCTTCCGTATAAATATGATCAATCATGGCTTTGCTATTCTTTAGTCTTTAATACATTTTTCCTACATATTTCAATGTGAAACTTTGCTCGGTCATTGTGGACGCTGCCAAGCCCCGGGTGTCATGTCATGATTTGAACTTGAATCTACACTAACTGAGGATGCTTCCAAATGAATATGACCAATCATGGCTTTTTTATTCTTGGGAAGTTATTTAAAGAATTGTCCTCTATATTTCTTTTTAAAACAATGGTCAGTCATTGTGGCCCCGCCCTACCCCTGGGGGTCATGATTTCTATAAACTTGAAGATACACTACCTGATGATGATTCCATATAAATATGACCAAACATGGCTTTGTTTTTTACTAATTCATAATTATGTCCCCTTTGAAGGGGGCATAGCCCTTCATTTGAACAAATTTGAATCCCCTTAACTAAAACATACTTTGTGGCAAGTTTTGTTGAAATTGGCCCAGAAGTTCCTGAGAAGACGATGAAAATGTGAAAAGTTTACAGACTAACGGACAGACAGAGGGACATACAGACTGACAGACGGATGCTGGACAAGATGTGATCAGAAAAGCTCACTTAAGATTTCAGTTCAGGTGAGCTGATAAACTGATTCCAAAACCAAACCTAATTCTCTTATTTGAGGTTTTATTATCCTACCAACTACAACACTGCTTGTTGAAATTAAACTTATATTTTTGGTCTACCTTCATTCTTTCTGTCTTGCTTTAATTCCAAGTTCTCTTCTTTTCCTTGTTCGATTCCACTTGTGCTCGAGACAGGATCTGAAAATTTCAATTGTTCTTTGGAAGAAACCATTCATCAAGCATGGGAAACAGTCAGTTATATTTTCATCATGAATAAAGTTCAATAATTTTAATTTACATTAGTTTCATTGCATCTAGTTTAAACTGAACCCAAAACTTAACCTCTAATTTGGAGTTTTATCATCCTACCACCTACAACATTGGTTGTTGTCTTTTGAATGAAATAAAAAGAATTCATATAGTTTGATAACTAATTGTTGATAAGCTTTGGTCTACCTTCAATCTTTCTTTCTTGCTTTCCTTTCAAGTCCTCTTCTTTTCCTTGCTCCATTCCACTTGTGGATGAGACAGGATCTGAAAATTTCATTTGTTCTTTTGAAGAAATCATTCATCAAGCATGAGAATCAGTTAATTATATTTTCACCATGAATATAGTTCAAACAATATTCTTTACATTAATTTCATTGCATAAAGTTTAAACCGAAACCAAATCAAAAACTCTAATTGGAGTTTTATCATCCTACCAACTACCACATTGCTTGTTGTCCTTTGAATGAAATTAAACAGAATTCATAAAGTATGATAACTAATTGTTGATAAGTTTTGATCTACCTTCTATCTTCTTTTCTTGCTTTTCTTTCATCTCCTCTTTTCCAGGTTTAGAGAGTCGAGATTCATCTATTAATTAAATATAGTTTAACTTGAAATCTTCCTCATAATTATTACTTACTCATGTTTCTAAGCGAAGAAATTATTTGTTTTGGATCATCATTGTATGAAAATCTAATGAAGTAATCAGTATGTGCTTACATTATTCTGTTCTTTCAGTGAGATTTAAGGGGTAAATATATTAAGGTTAGGATTGAGGTTAAGATTAAGGTTAAGGTTAGGGTTAGGGTTAATTTGATATAATGGTTTATGTAAAGATTTAAGTTTGGTACTAAGATCACATACAAAGTATGACTTGAGATTTAAAAGAAAACAAATTTACCACGGAATATATATATTTTGTGAATTAATTTTCAGTTTAATACAGTTGACGTAAAGAAGTTTTCAAGAGAATTGTCTATTCCAATAAATTCCCCTCATGGACAAAGTCAATATTTCATGACTCATATTATCGGGTCAAGAGAAGATATTTATTTATTTGCATGTTTCATTACGCAATTTTTACACTTCGGATCAGGGTCTTCACTGTGACCCTTTCAATACGGTATTACTTATATCTTCAACTTAAGTCATTTTCTCTTATTTATATCTCTAATTTTGATGATCGTTAAAACTACTTTATTTCTTATTAAATCGGTCATTTTTCAACCACATATTGAAGTTTGTTCTCATTCTAAGAAAATATTTTAATCTCCAGCATTAAAAAAAAAGATTCCTTTTCCTCTATTCCACTTACCGGGTTCTTCGACTTTCTTTGACATCTTCCTACTGTCTCGTTTAGTAAAATGGCGGCTCAAACCTACAAGTATGCACGTGACAATAAAAATAGAACTGACGTAAAGGTTCTGGAACTCTCTATGGTAAAATATCTCTCAGTAAAACTGGACCTACAATTATCACGTGATTTTTTTTTTTTTTGGCATTGACAAGATGCAACTGAGTTACAATAAAAGCCCCATTAGCCTACCCCTAACAAAGAGTAAAAGCTGCATCAATATGCTAATAAACATTCTTTAGAGTAAGAGTTGTACCAAACTGCATGATAGAAAAGAGGGGTTAGGGAGCGGCAGAGAATTATTCTTGTTATACGAAATGAAATTATTATTTTTTTTATTGTAACACTTGCTTCCTTGTGATTTCAATAATCTCTCTATATATCCAAACAAATGATTTCGAAGCAAGCTTTGGACAAAAGGGTATAAAATCTCAATATATACTAATATTTGACTCGAAAAGATCTGTAATTAATCAGCGACTTTCATCTTAAAAAAAAAATAAAAAGAGCTATAAAATGAACGATCCCATCGGGAATCGAACCCGGCACCCCTTAATCTGAAGTCCGCTGTTCTACCTACTGAGCCAAAGTGTATGATGGAAATGACGAAATAAACTTTAATAGTTTCGCTACACAAAGTATTTAAATTAAAAAAACAATAACCACGCCTACTGAAATCACGTGACAGAAAGTGACATTGACGAGATGGCTCCGGAGCAATCTTCGTAAAACCTCCTATACCCTAACCCTAACCCTAACCCTAACCCTAACCCTAACCCTGAAGTCAATTTTTTTCGCGGACATTTGTACAACAAACTTTGTGCAAAAATAATGCAATATAAAGAGAGTATTAAGATACCAGCGTAATTTTCTACCATGGATTGGATCAAGGATTTTTTCCAAGAAGGGGGGGGGGGACCACAGTAAAAAACAATCCATTTTAACTCTTCAATTTCCTGGCAAGCAAAATAAAAGTTGCCAAACGTGAAATTACTATTTCATAGCTGGAGGGGGGTGGAGTGATTGAGAGAAATTTGTTGATAAGCGAAAAAAAAAAAAACAACAACACACACGCACACGCACAAACGTGAAAATCATAGGTAGACGAGGGGTGGGGGGGGGGTTGACAGATATTTGCTGACAAGTAATGAATTCTAATGCTTTAATATCTATTACTTCTCATACAAACTTAAACTGGGTCTGCGTCACAAAAGTAGTCTCCGTTTTAAGTCGTGGCGGTCTAAAGGTAACTTTTTATTTGCTTTTTTTTTTTTTTATCAGTTTAATATCTCTAAAAACTCAACGGAGGGGGGTGGGGGGCGGACCCACCACCGCACCCCCTCAAGATCTGCGCATGGAACATAATTAAAAATTAGACATTTCGAAGAATTATGACCCCAATGAAAAAAGTACGTTTCAATTATTTGATATTTCTAGACCTAATGTTTTCAACAAGTTTAAGAAAAATAAGATCTAGTAAAATGATCAATATCCAAAGTATTACCTTTTCTTGTTAACAAAAACCGGAAAACAATATTTTATATCTTACTTAAAGATACCAGATTAGTGTAAGATACCAGGTTAGGTTTAAGATACCAGGTTAGGTTTAAGATACCAGGTTAAGTTTAAGATACCAGGTTAAGTTTAAGATACCAGGTTAGGTTTAAGATACCAGGTTAGGTTTAAGATACCAGGTAAGGTTTAAGATACCAGGTAAGGTTTAAGATACCAGGTTAGGCTTAAGCTACCAGGTTAGGTTTAAGATACCAGGTTAGGTTTAAGATACCAGGTTAAGTTTAAGATACCAGGTTAGGTTTAAGATTAAGGTTAGGTTTAAGATACCAGGTTAGGTTTAAGATACCAGGTTAGGTTTAAGATACCAGGTAAGGTTTAAGATACCAGGTTAAGTTTAAGATACCAGGTTAGGTTTAAGATACCAGGTTAAGGTTAGGTTTGAAGATAAAGGTTAAGGTTAGGGTTAAAGATTGATATTAAAGGAAGGTTTAAAAGTTAATGAGGGGTTGAAGATTTAGATTAAATTTTAGTTCTTGTTTCAGAGTGGAATCTTGATATGGTAACTAATCAAACAAATCTTCATTTTTGAAAAGGGTTAACATAAGAAGGTTTACTATCAAGGTAACCATTAGGTTTCAGATTCAGGTTAGGTTTAAGATTGAATTTAATGTTATGGTTAAGATTAAGATTCAGATTAGAGTTAAGGATGGGTTAAAGAGTAAAAATATGTTTGAGTTAAATTGATGATAAATTAAGGTTGTGATTTAGGTTTAAGTTATGGTTAAAGTTTAGTTTATGGTTAAGAGATAGATTAAGGATAAGCTTGAGGTTTGAAGATTAAGATTGACGTAAAAGTGAAGGTTTACTTCTAGGTTAAGATTCAAATTAAGGTTTGAATTTGGATTACATATAATATTTAGTTTAAGATTAAGAACAAATGTTAAAGTGGAATGCCAGGCCAACTCTTTCTTTTATAGATCTTTGTGGCATCCTTTTTAAAGAATGGTATGAGGCATTAAAAGGCCGATATTAGCTCTGATTTTTTCTTTTGTATATTTTTAAAGAAAAATAAAGAAAAAAGTATTTATATCCAAATCAGATGTTTTCTACTTAAAAGTTTGCTGTAAATGAATGCATCATATAAATGTCTAATAAAATATACAAAGAAATGCTGCAAAGACTTTTTAAATTAATTTTATACCAATTATTTATGAAATTGAAATTCATCATTTGTGAAATATTTTTAAACCTATGGTTAAAAACACCATGAAACTAGTCATAACTTAAGAGAACATGTTTTCCAATCACATTTTAAAGAGAAATTGAACTGAAATTGCAAAAATTTAGGGGAAAAAATAATTTTTTTAAAATTTGTTATTTAACCCGATCAAAATTACACCGATCCTCATCAAAATTTCAACATAATAACTACAAAACTAGTTTATTGCCTTTTTCATGGATTTACTATTAAAGAATATATTTGATTGTCAAGTTCAATTTTTTTTAAACTCCTATTATACCGAATGAGACGAGTTTTCTTCGAGAAATGTTATTTATATCTAATAAATGTACAATTCTGGTTGGGATCGGTTTATTTTTCATCAGGATTGGCCAAACTTTAAAAAAATATGTTTCTGTAAAATTTTAAACTTTCATGCCCATTTCTTATAAAATATGATTAACAAACATGTTTTTCTCCAGTTGTGCCTAGTTTTAAGAATTTAAACACAAGTTAAAAAAAATTATTTGTTTTATTTTAATTATTTTTTTTTCTATTTCTAAAAATTTCTATTCGACTTTTCTCTACATATTTTATTAGGTATCCATGTGATGCATTGATTTATAGCAAATATTTTACAAGAAACATCTAATTTTGATGTAATTTTTTTTCCCCATTTTGTTAAAATAGGAAACTAATTCTATTAAATTATTAAGAGCTAATGTGTGCCTTTCAATGCAGAAACCATCATTTAAAAGGATTGAAACAGAGATCTATAAAATTAAAAGCTTTGGGGATATTCTTTGGGATTCTCCTTAAGCATTATCACAACCTTCACGTCAACCCCTTTGTTTCTTTGGCTGATTTATCTTTACTCATAGTCTTGCAATCAAAGGTTAAAATAATTTTATATTCTCAACCTCATATCTAAAGTCGCCCGGGTTGTGAAATGTTAGAGAAGGATATGGAGATAACGAGCAGTATTCAATCTCAAAGTCCATTAAACAATATACAAAATAAGAGCAGAGGAAACACGGACCTCCGAAACATCAGAGGTGGGATCAGATTCCATGGAGGAGTGAGCATCCCCTGCCGAGCGGTCACAACCGCCGTGTGCTCGTTGTCATGATCAGGAAATAATGGGGGGGGGGGGAATCTGTCGTCAATTCAGTATATAAATAATGGACTAACAATTAATATGAAAAACTTCAGTCAGCATTTGACTGAGAGCGTCTTCTCTATAAATCGTGAAGTGAGGTGTTGATCCTGAACTCGATAGTTCGAATCCAACTGTGGGACATGTACACCGGTTCCTCTGGTGAGACCGTATAAACCGAAGTCCCGTGTCGCAGTAGGTGCTGGCACGAAAAAGATCCCTCCCTGCTCAGTAGTCCTGAGTGTCGAGTATAGTACAGAATATACTGCTCTCTACCAGCAAATGGTGACATCTCCATATGAGTGAACAATTTTCGAAAAATTCAATCAATCACTCACATATTTTACATTGTTCAGGAAGTTTTTAATAAAGTTTCTTTGAGGGAAAAAATCCACCCTATTCTGATAACTAGACCATCAGCTTTCATAGTATTTATCTAGAAACATCTTGCTAGATTTCAACATAATTTCTCCTCATTTAGGTTTTGAAAAATTGATCAAGTTCAATAACAAATCATTCCTTAACTAAATAAACTGATTGCTCAAATTTATTTCTTCAAAGTATGGAACTTTTGTCTTTACAAACAAACATCAACCTCCAGTTTTTTTTGTATATTCCAAATGAAATTTCTAACAAAATTAATTAAACATTTCTTTAATGTTCAATCAAAGCATCATGTTCAAGACAAGATTTAACTTTATTTTAAAAAAATGTCAAAAAAACCGTCATGTTAAAACAAGCAATCAGCGTCATTTTAATTGAAACCCATTTTTCCTGATAAAGCTATGTTTTTGTTTTCATAACTTCTTCGCTTCGTTGACCATACGATATCGGTGTTTTCATCGTTGACTTGAAGGGATTTCATCATCCTCGATACATATATTCTGTCTCACTGGCGTATCTGTAAAACATTTTAAAAATTATACCTAAGAGTCCTAATTCTCTTTTTATCTTTTCTGTTTAAAGGAGATACTAAGATAAATAAAAAAACAGCTTAAAAACTTTTTTACATTCCACTTAGAAACCATACATCAAGCATGAAAATCAGTCAATAACATTTTCACTATGAATATAGTTCAATATTTTTTTTTTTAAAATTAATATCATTGCATCTAATACAAGAGGCCCATGGGCCACATTGCTCACCTCAGCACTGTGGCTAGCATAAAAGCAAAAATTAGTTAATTATTGAAAAGTTTAAACCCAAAAAAGTCCCAACCATTCCTTAAAGGGGATAGGGTATGATTTGCACAAACCTGAGTCTAAACTTCCTGAGAATGCTTCCATATAAATATATGTATGACCAATTACATCTTTGCTATTCTCGACAAAATATTTAAAGAATTTTATTATATATTTCTATGTTAAACTTTGGTCAGCCAGTGTGGCCCTGCCCAACCACCGGGGGTGGTGGTTGAAACAAATTTGAATCTACACTAACTGAGAATGCTTCCGTATAAATATGATCAATCATGGCTTTGCTATTCTTTAGTTTTTAATACATTTTTCCTACATATTTCAATGTGAAACTTTGCTCGGTCATTGTGGACGCTGCCAAGCCCCGGGTGTCATGTCATGATTTGAACTTGAATCTACACTAACTGAGGATGCTTCCAAATGAATATGACCAATCATGGCTTTTTTATTCTTGGGAAGTTATTTAAAGAATTGTCCTCTATATTTCTTTTTAAAACAATGGTCAGTCATTGTGGCCCCGCCCTACCCCTGGGGGTCATGATTTCTATAAACTTGAAGATACACTACCTGATGATGATTCCATATAAATATGACCAAACATGGCTTTGTTTTTTACTAATTCATAATTATGTCCCCTTTGAAGGGGGCATAGCCCTTCATTTGAACAAATTTGAATCCCCTTAACTAAAACATACTTTGTGGCAAGTTTTGTTGAAATTGGCCCAGAAGTTCCTGAGAAGACGATGAAAATGTGAAAAGTTTACAGACTAACGGACAGACAGAGGGACATACAGACTGACAGACGGATGCTGGACAAGATGTGATCAGAAAAGCTCACTTAAGATTTCAGTTCAGGTGAGCTGATAAACTGATTCCAAAACCAAACCTAATTCTCTTATTTGAGGTTTTATTATCCTACCAACTACAACACTGCTTGTTGAAATTAAACTTATATTTTTGGTCTACCTTCATTCTTTCTGTCTTGCTTTAATTCCAAGTTCTCTTCTTTTCCTTGTTCGATTCCACTTGTGCTCGAGACAGGATCTGAAAATTTCAATTGTTCTTTGGAAGAAACCATTCATCAAGCATGGGAAACAGTCAGTTATATTTTCATCATGAATAAAGTTCAATAATTTTAATTTACATTAGTTTCATTGCATCTAGTTTAAACTGAACCCAAAACTTAACCTCTAATTTGGAGTTTTATCATCCTACCACCTACAACATTGGTTGTTGTCTTTTGAATGAAATAAAAAGAATTCATATAGTTTGATAACTAATTGTTGATAAGCTTTGGTCTACCTTCAATCTTTCTTTCTTGCTTTCCTTTCAAGTCCTCTTCTTTTCCTTGCTCCATTCCACTTGTGGATGAGACAGGATCTGAAAATTTCATTTGTTCTTTTGAAGAAATCATTCATCAAGCATGAGAATCAGTTAATTATATTTTCACCATGAATATAGTTCAAACAATATTCTTTACATTAATTTCATTGCATAAAGTTTAAACCGAAACCAAATCAAAAACTCTAATTGGAGTTTTATCATCCTACCAACTACCACATTGCTTGTTGTCCTTTGAATGAAATTAAACAGAATTCATAAAGTATGATAACTAATTGTTGATAAGTTTTGATCTACCTTCTATCTTCTTTTCTTGCTTTTCTTTCATCTCCTCTTTTCCAGGTTTAGAGAGTCGAGATTCATCTATTAATTAAATATAGTTTAACTTGAAATCTTCCTCATAATTATTACTTACTCATGTTTCTAAGCGAAGAAATTATTTGTTTTGGATCATCATTGTATGAAAATCTAATGAAGTAATCAGTATGTGCTTACATTATTCTGTTCTTTCAGTGAGATTTAAGGGGTAAATATATTAAGGTTAGGATTGAGGTTAAGATTAAGGTTAAGGTTAGGGTTAGGGTTAATTTGATATAATGGTTTATGTAAAGATTTAAGTTTGGTACTAAGATCACATACAAAGTATGACTTGAGATTTAAAAGAAAACAAATTTACCACGGAATATATATATTTTGTGAATTAATTTTCAGTTTAATACAGTTGACGTAAAGAAGTTTTCAAGAGAATTGTCTATTCCAATAAATTCCCCTCATGGACAAAGTCAATATTTCATGACTCATATTATCGGGTCAAGAGAAGATATTTATTTATTTGCATGTTTCATTACGCAATTTTTACACTTCGGATCAGGGTCTTCACTGTGACCCTTTCAATACGGTATTACTTATATCTTCAACTTAAGTCATTTTCTCTTATTTATATCTCTAATTTTGATGATCGTTAAAACTACTTTATTTCTTATTAAATCGGTCATTTTTCAACCACATATTGAAGTTTGTTCTCATTCTAAGAAAATATTTTAATCTCCAGCATTAAAAAAAAAGATTCCTTTTCCTCTATTCCACTTACCGGGTTCTTCGACTTTCTTTGACATCTTCCTACTGTCTCGTTTAGTAAAATGGCGGCTCAAACCTACAAGTATGCACGTGACAATAAAAATAGAACTGACGTAAAGGTTCTGGAACTCTCTATGGTAAAATATCTCTCAGTAAAACTGGACCTACAATTATCACGTGATTTTTTTTTTTTTTGGCATTGACAAGATGCAACTGAGTTACAATAAAAGCCCCATTAGCCTACCCCTAACAAAGAGTAAAAGCTGCATCAATATGCTAATAAACATTCTTTAGAGTAAGAGTTGTACCAAACTGCATGATAGAAAAGAGGGGTTAGGGAGCGGCAGAGAATTATTCTTGTTATACGAAATGAAATTATTATTTTTTTTATTGTAACACTTGCTTCCTTGTGATTTCAATAATCTCTCTATATATCCAAACAAATGATTTCGAAGCAAGCTTTGGACAAAAGGGTATAAAATCTCAATATATACTAATATTTGACTCGAAAAGATCTGTAATTAATCAGCGACTTTCATCTTAAAAAAAAAATAAAAAGAGCTATAAAATGAACGATCCCATCGGGAATCGAACCCGGCACCCCTTAATCTGAAGTCCGCTGTTCTACCTACTGAGCCAAAGTGTATGATGGAAATGACGAAATAAACTTTAATAGTTTCGCTACACAAAGTATTTAAATTAAAAAAACAATAACCACGCCTACTGAAATCACGTGACAGAAAGTGACATTGACGAGATGGCTCCGGAGCAATCTTCGTAAAACCTCCTATACCCTAACCCTAACCCTAACCCTAACCCTAACCCTAACCCTGAAGTCAATTTTTTTCGCGGACATTTGTACAACAAACTTTGTGCAAAAATAATGCAATATAAAGAGAGTATTAAGATACCAGCGTAATTTTCTACCATGGATTGGATCAAGGATTTTTTCCAAGAAGGGGGGGGGGGACCACAGTAAAAAACAATCCATTTTAACTCTTCAATTTCCTGGCAAGCAAAATAAAAGTTGCCAAACGTGAAATTACTATTTCATAGCTGGAGGGGGGTGGAGTGATTGAGAGAAATTTGTTGATAAGCGAAAAAAAAAAAAACAACAACACACACGCACACGCACAAACGTGAAAATCATAGGTAGACGAGGGGTGGGGGGGGGGGTTGACAGATATTTGCTGACAAGTAATGAATTCTAATGCTTTAATATCTATTACTTCTCATACAAACTTAAACTGGGTCTGCGTCACAAAAGTAGTCTCCGTTTTAAGTCGTGGCGGTCTAAAGGTAACTTTTTATTTGCTTTTTTTTTTTTTATCAGTTTAATATCTCTAAAAACTCAACGGAGGGGGGTGGGGGGCGGACCCACCACCGCACCCCCTCAAGATCTGCGCATGGAACATAATTAAAAATTAGACATTTCGAAGAATTATGACCCCAATGAAAAAAGTACGTTTCAATTATTTGATATTTCTAGACCTAATGTTTTCAACAAGTTTAAGAAAAATAAGATCTAGTAAAATGATCAATATCCAAAGTATTACCTTTTCTTGTTAACAAAAACCGGAAAACAATATTTTATATCTTACTTAAAGATACCAGATTAGTGTAAGATACCAGGTTAGGTTTAAGATACCAGGTTAGGTTTAAGATACCAGGTTAAGTTTAAGATACCAGGTTAGGTTTAAGATACCAGGTTAGGTTTAAGATACCAGGTAAGGTTTAAGATACCAGGTAAGGTTTAAGATACCAGGTTAGGCTTAAGCTACCAGGTTAGGTTTAAGATACCAGGTTAGGTTTAAGATACCAGGTTAAGTTTAAGATACCAGGTTAGGTTTAAGATTAAGGTTAGGTTTAAGATACCAGGTTAGGTTTAAGATACCAGGTTAGGTTTAAGATACCAGGTAAGGTTTAAGATACCAGGTTAAGTTTAAGATACCAGGTTAGGTTTAAGATACCAGGTTAAGGTTAGGTTTGAAGATAAAGGTTAAGGTTAGGGTTAAAGATTGATATTAAAGGAAGGTTTAAAAGTTAATGAGGGGTTGAAGATTTAGATTAAATTTTAGTTCTTGTTTCAGAGTGGAATCTTGATATGGTAACTAATCAAACAAATCTTCATTTTTGAAAAGGGTTAACATAAGAAGGTTTACTATCAAGGTAACCATTAGGTTTCAGATTCAGGTTAGGTTTAAGATTGAATTTAATGTTATGGTTAAGATTAAGATTCAGATTAGAGTTAAGGATGGGTTAAAGAGTAAAAATATGTTTGAGTTAAATTGATGATAAATTAAGGTTGTGATTTAGGTTTAAGTTATGGTTAAAGTTTAGTTTATGGTTAAGAGATAGATTAAGGATAAGCTTGAGGTTTGAAGATTAAGATTGACGTAAAAGTGAAGGTTTACTTCTAGGTTAAGATTCAAATTAAGGTTTGAATTTGGATTACATATAATATTTAGTTTAAGATTAAGAACAAATGTTAAAGTGGAATTCCAGGCCAACTCTTTCTTTTATAGATCTTTGTGGCATCCTTTTTAAAGAATGGTATGAGGCATTAAAAGGCCGATATTAGCTCTGATTTTTTCTTTTGTATATTTTTAAAGAAAAATAAAGAAAAAAGTATTTATATCCAAATCAGATGTTTTCTACTTAAAAGTTTGCTGTAAATGAATGCATCATATAAATGTCTAATAAAATATACAAAGAAATGCTGCAAAGACTTTTTAAATTAATTTTATACCAATTATTTATGAAATTGAAATTCATCATTTGTGAAATATTTTTAAACCTATGGTTAAAAACACCATGAAACTAGTCATAACTTAAGAGAACATGTTTTCCAATCACATTTTAAAGAGAAATTGAACTGAAATTGCAAAAATTTAGGGGAAAAAATAATTTTTTTAAAATTTGTTATTTAACCCGATCAAAATTACACCGATCCTCATCAAAATTTCAACATAATAACTACAAAACTAGTTTATTGCCTTTTTCATGGATTTACTATTAAAGAATATATTTGATTGTCAAGTTCAATTTTTTTTAAACTCCTATTATACCGAATGAGACGAGTTTTCTTCGAGAAATGTTATTTATATCTAATAAATGTACAATTCTGGTTGGGATCGGTTTATTTTTCATCAGGATTGGCCAAACTTTAAAAAAATATGTTTCTGTAAAATTTTAAACTTTCATGCCCATTTCTTATAAAATATGATTAACAAACATGTTTTTCTCCAGTTGTGCCTAGTTTTAAGAATTTAAACACAAGTTAAAAAAAATTATTTGTTTTATTTTAATTATTTTTTTTTCTATTTCTAAAAATTTCTATTCGACTTTTCTCTACATATTTTATTAGGTATCCATGTGATGCATTGATTTATAGCAAATATTTTACAAGAAACATCTAATTTTGATGTAATTTTTTTTCCCCATTTTGTTAAAATAGGAAACTAATTCTATTAAATTATTAAGAGCTAATGTGTGCCTTTCAATGCAGAAACCATCATTTAAAAGGATTGAAACAGAGATCTATAAAATTAAAAGCTTTGGGGATATTCTTTGGGATTCTCCTTAAGCATTATCACAACCTTCACGTCAACCCCTTTGTTTCTTTGGCTGATTTATCTTTACTCATAGTCTTGCAATCAAAGGTTAAAATAATTTTATATTCTCAACCTCATATCTAAAGTCGCCCGGGTTGTGAAATGTTAGAGAAGGATATGGAGATAACGAGCAGTATTCAATCTCAAAGTCCATTAAACAATATACAAAATAAGAGCAGAGGAAACACGGACCTCCGAAACATCAGAGGTGGGATCAGATTCCATGGAGGAGTGAGCATCCCCTGCCGAGCGGTCACAACCGCCGTGTGCTCGTTGTCATGATCAGGAAATAATGGGGGGGGGGGGAATCTGTCGTCAATTCAGTATATAAATAATGGACTAACAATTAATATGAAAAACTTCAGTCAGCATTTGACTGAGAGCGTCTTCTCTATAAATCGTGAAGTGAGGTGTTGATCCTGAACTCGATAGTTCGAATCCAACTGTGGGACATGTACACCGGTTCCTCTGGTGAGACCGTATAAACCGAAGTCCCGTGTCGCAGTAGGTGCTGGCACGAAAAAGATCCCTCCCTGCTCAGTAGTCCTGAGTGTCGAGTATAGTACAGAATATACTGCTCTCTACCAGCAAATGGTGACATCTCCATATGAGTGAACAATTTTCGAAAAATTCAATCAATCACTCACATATTTTACATTGTTCAGGAAGTTTTTAATAAAGTTTCTTTGAGGGAAAAAATCCACCCTATTCTGATAACTAGACCATCAGCTTTCATAGTATTTATCTAGAAACATCTTGCTAGATTTCAACATAATTTCTCCTCATTTAGGTTTTGAAAAATTGATCAAGTTCAATAACAAATCATTCCTTAACTAAATAAACTGATTGCTCAAATTTATTTCTTCAAAGTATGGAACTTTTGTCTTTACAAACAAACATCAACCTCCAGTTTTTTTTGTATATTCCAAATGAAATTTCTAACAAAATTAATTAAACATTTCTTTAATGTTCAATCAAAGCATCATGTTCAAGACAAGATTTAACTTTATTTTAAAAAAATGTCAAAAAAACCGTCATGTTAAAACAAGCAATCAGCGTCATTTTAATTGAAACCCATTTTTCCTGATAAAGCTATGTTTTTGTTTTCATAACTTCTTCGCTTCGTTGACCATACGATATCGGTGTTTTCATCGTTGACTTGAAGGGATTTCATCATCCTCGATACATATATTCTGTCTCACTGGCGTATCTGTAAAACATTTTAAAAATTATACCTAAGAGTCCTAATTCTCTTTTTATCTTTTCTGTTTAAAGGAGATACTAAGATAAATAAAAAAACAGCTTAAAAACTTTTTTACATTCCACTTAGAAACCATACATCAAGCATGAAAATCAGTCAATAACATTTTCACTATGAATATAGTTCAATATTTTTTTTTTTAAAATTAATATCATTGCATCTAATACAAGAGGCCCATGGGCCACATTGCTCACCTCAGCACTGTGGCTAGCATAAAAGCAAAAATTAGTTAATTATTGAAAAGTTTAAACCCAAAAAAGTCCCAACCATCCAAAAAAGTCCCAACCATTCCTTAAAGGGGATAGGGTATGATTTGCACAAACCTGAGTCTAAACTTCCTGAGAATGCTTCCATATAAATATATGTATGACCAATTACATCTTTGCTATTCTCGACAAAATATTTAAAGAATTTTATTATATATTTCTATGTTAAACTTTGGTCAGCCAGTGTGGCCCTGCCCAACCACCGGGGGTGGTGGTTGAAACAAATTTGAATCTACACTAACTGAGAATGCTTCCGTATAAATATGATCAATCATGGCTTTGCTATTCTTTAGTTTTTAATACATTTTTCCTACATATTTCAATGTGAAACTTTGCTCGGTCATTGTGGACGCTGCCAAGCCCCGGGTGTCATGTCATGATTTGAACTTGAATCTACACTAACTGAGGATGCTTCCAAATGAATATGACCAATCATGGCTTTTTTATTCTTGGGAAGTTATTTAAAGAATTGTCCTCTATATTTCTTTTTAAAACAATGGTCAGTCATTGTGGCCCCGCCCTACCCCTGGGGGTCATGATTTCTATAAACTTGAAGATACACTACCTGATGATGATTCCATATAAATATGACCAAACATGGCTTTGTTTTTTACTAATTCATAATTATGTCCCCTTTGAAGGGGGCATAGCCCTTCATTTGAACAAATTTGAATCCCCTTAACTAAAACATACTTTGTGGCAAGTTTTGTTGAAATTGGCCCAGAAGTTCCTGAGAAGACGATGAAAATGTGAAAAGTTTACAGACTAACGGACAGACAGAGGGACATACAGACTGACAGACGGATGCTGGACAAGATGTGATCAGAAAAGCTCACTTAAGATTTCAGTTCAGGTGAGCTGATAAACTGATTCCAAAACCAAACCTAATTCTCTTATTTGAGGTTTTATTATCCTACCAACTACAACACTGCTTGTTGAAATTAAACTTATATTTTTGGTCTACCTTCATTCTTTCTGTCTTGCTTTAATTCCAAGTTCTCTTCTTTTCCTTGTTCGATTCCACTTGTGCTCGAGACAGGATCTGAAAATTTCAATTGTTCTTTGGAAGAAACCATTCATCAAGCATGGGAAACAGTCAGTTATATTTTCATCATGAATAAAGTTCAATAATTTTAATTTACATTAGTTTCATTGCATCTAGTTTAAACTGAACCCAAAACTTAACCTCTAATTTGGAGTTTTATCATCCTACCACCTACAACATTGGTTGTTGTCTTTTGAATGAAATAAAAAGAATTCATATAGTTTGATAACTAATTGTTGATAAGCTTTGGTCTACCTTCAATCTTTCTTTCTTGCTTTCCTTTCAAGTCCTCTTCTTTTCCTTGCTCCATTCCACTTGTGGATGAGACAGGATCTGAAAATTTCATTTGTTCTTTTGAAGAAATCATTCATCAAGCATGAGAATCAGTTAATTATATTTTCACCATGAATATAGTTCAAACAATATTCTTTACATTAATTTCATTGCATAAAGTTTAAACCGAAACCAAATCAAAAACTCTAATTGGAGTTTTATCATCCTACCAACTACCACATTGCTTGTTGTCCTTTGAATGAAATTAAACAGAATTCATAAAGTATGATAACTAATTGTTGATAAGTTTTGATCTACCTTCTATCTTCTTTTCTTGCTTTTCTTTCATCTCCTCTTTTCCAGGTTTAGAGAGTCGAGATTCATCTATTAATTAAATATAGTTTAACTTGAAATCTTCCTCATAATTATTACTTACTCATGTTTCTAAGCGAAGAAATTATTTGTTTTGGATCATCATTGTATGAAAATCTAATGAAGTAATCAGTATGTGCTTACATTATTCTGTTCTTTCAGTGAGATTTAAGGGGTAAATATATTAAGGTTAGGATTGAGGTTAAGATTAAGGTTAAGGTTAGGGTTAGGGTTAATTTGATATAATGGTTTATGTAAAGATTTAAGTTTGGTACTAAGATCACATACAAAGTATGACTTGAGATTTAAAAGAAAACAAATTTACCACGGAATATATATATTTTGTGAATTAATTTTCAGTTTAATACAGTTGACGTAAAGAAGTTTTCAAGAGAATTGTCTATTCCAATAAATTCCCCTCATGGACAAAGTCAATATTTCATGACTCATATTATCGGGTCAAGAGAAGATATTTATTTATTTGCATGTTTCATTACGCAATTTTTACACTTCGGATCAGGGTCTTCACTGTGACCCTTTCAATACGGTATTACTTATATCTTCAACTTAAGTCATTTTCTCTTATTTATATCTCTAATTTTGATGATCGTTAAAACTACTTTATTTCTTATTAAATCGGTCATTTTTCAACCACATATTGAAGTTTGTTCTCATTCTAAGAAAATATTTTAATCTCCAGCATTAAAAAAAAAGATTCCTTTTCCTCTATTCCACTTACCGGGTTCTTCGACTTTCTTTGACATCTTCCTACTGTCTCGTTTAGTAAAATGGCGGCTCAAACCTACAAGTATGCACGTGACAATAAAAATAGAACTGACGTAAAGGTTCTGGAACTCTCTATGGTAAAATATCTCTCAGTAAAACTGGACCTACAATTATCACGTGATTTTTTTTTTTTTTGGCATTGACAAGATGCAACTGAGTTACAATAAAAGCCCCATTAGCCTACCCCTAACAAAGAGTAAAAGCTGCATCAATATGCTAATAAACATTCTTTAGAGTAAGAGTTGTACCAAACTGCATGATAGAAAAGAGGGGTTAGGGAGCGGCAGAGAATTATTCTTGTTATACGAAATGAAATTATTATTTTTTTTATTGTAACACTTGCTTCCTTGTGATTTCAATAATCTCTCTATATATCCAAACAAATGATTTCGAAGCAAGCTTTGGACAAAAGGGTATAAAATCTCAATATATACTAATATTTGACTCGAAAAGATCTGTAATTAATCAGCGACTTTCATCTTAAAAAAAAAATAAAAAGAGCTATAAAATGAACGATCCCATCGGGAATCGAACCCGGCACCCCTTAATCTGAAGTCCGCTGTTCTACCTACTGAGCCAAAGTGTATGATGGAAATGACGAAATAAACTTTAATAGTTTCGCTACACAAAGTATTTAAATTAAAAAAACAATAACCACGCCTACTGAAATCACGTGACAGAAAGTGACATTGACGAGATGGCTCCGGAGCAATCTTCGTAAAACCTCCTATACCCTAACCCTAACCCTAACCCTAACCCTAACCCTAACCCTGAAGTCAATTTTTTTCGCGGACATTTGTACAACAAACTTTGTGCAAAAATAATGCAATATAAAGAGAGTATTAAGATACCAGCGTAATTTTCTACCATGGATTGGATCAAGGATTTTTTCCAAGAAGGGGGGGGGGGACCACAGTAAAAAACAATCCATTTTAACTCTTCAATTTCCTGGCAAGCAAAATAAAAGTTGCCAAACGTGAAATTACTATTTCATAGCTGGAGGGGGGTGGAGTGATTGAGAGAAATTTGTTGATAAGCGAAAAAAAAAAAAACAACAACACACACGCACACGCACAAACGTGAAAATCATAGGTAGACGAGGGGTGGGGGGGGGGGTTGACAGATATTTGCTGACAAGTAATGAATTCTAATGCTTTAATATCTATTACTTCTCATACAAACTTAAACTGGGTCTGCGTCACAAAAGTAGTCTCCGTTTTAAGTCGTGGCGGTCTAAAGGTAACTTTTTATTTGCTTTTTTTTTTTTTTATCAGTTTAATATCTCTAAAAACTCAACGGAGGGGGGTGGGGGGCGGACCCACCACCGCACCCCCTCAAGATCTGCGCATGGAACATAATTAAAAATTAGACATTTCGAAGAATTATGACCCCAATGAAAAAAGTACGTTTCAATTATTTGATATTTCTAGACCTAATGTTTTCAACAAGTTTAAGAAAAATAAGATCTAGTAAAATGATCAATATCCAAAGTATTACCTTTTCTTGTTAACAAAACCGGAAAACAATATTTTATATCTTACTTAAAGATACCAGATTAGTGTAAGATACCAGGTTAGGTTTAAGATACCAGGTTAGGTTTAAGATACCAGGTTAAGTTTAAGATACCAGGTTAAGTTTAAGATACCAGGTTAGGTTTAAGATACCAGGTTAGGTTTAAGATACCAGGTAAGGTTTAAGATACCAGGTAAGGTTTAAGATACCAGGTTAGGCTTAAGCTACCAGGTTAGGTTTAAGATACCAGGTTAGGTTTAAGATACCAGGTTAAGTTTAAGATACCAGGTTAGGTTTAAGATTAAGGTTAGGTTTAAGATACCAGGTTAGGTTTAAGATACCAGGTTAGGTTTAAGATACCAGGTAAGGTTTAAGATACCAGGTTAAGTTTAAGATACCAGGTTAGGTTTAAGATACCAGGTTAAGGTTAGGTTTGAAGATAAAGGTTAAGGTTAGGGTTAAAGATTGATATTAAAGGAAGGTTTAAAAGTTAATGAGGGGTTGAAGATTTAGATTAAATTTTAGTTCTTGTTTCAGAGTGGAATCTTGATATGGTAACTAATCAAACAAATCTTCATTTTTGAAAAGGGTTAACATAAGAAGGTTTACTATCAAGGTAACCATTAGGTTTCAGATTCAGGTTAGGTTTAAGATTGAATTTAATGTTATGGTTAAGATTAAGATTCAGATTAGAGTTAAGGATGGGTTAAAGAGTAAAAATATGTTTGAGTTAAATTGATGATAAATTAAGGTTGTGATTTAGGTTTAAGTTATGGTTAAAGTTTAGTTTATGGTTAAGAGATAGATTAAGGATAAGCTTGAGGTTTGAAGATTAAGATTGACGTAAAAGTGAAGGTTTACTTCTAGGTTAAGATTCAAATTAAGGTTTGAATTTGGATTACATATAATATTTAGTTTAAGATTAAGAACAAATGTTAAAGTGGAATGCCAGGCCAACTCTTTCTTTTATAGATCTTTGTGGCATCCTTTTTAAAGAATGGTATGAGGCATTAAAAGGCCGATATTAGCTCTGATTTTTTCTTTTGTATATTTTTAAAGAAAAATAAAGAAAAAAGTATTTATATCCAAATCAGATGTTTTCTACTTAAAAGTTTGCTGTAAATGAATGCATCATATAAATGTCTAATAAAATATACAAAGAAATGCTGCAAAGACTTTTTAAATTAATTTTATACCAATTATTTATGAAATTGAAATTCATCATTTGTGAAATATTTTTAAACCTATGGTTAAAAACACCATGAAACTAGTCATAACTTAAGAGAACATGTTTTCCAATCACATTTTAAAGAGAAATTGAACTGAAATTGCAAAAATTTAGGGGAAAAAATAATTTTTTTAAAATTTGTTATTTAACCCGATCAAAATTACACCGATCCTCATCAAAATTTCAACATAATAACTACAAAACTAGTTTATTGCCTTTTTCATGGATTTACTATTAAAGAATATATTTGATTGTCAAGTTCAATTTTTTTTAAACTCCTATTATACCGAATGAGACGAGTTTTCTTCGAGAAATGTTATTTATATCTAATAAATGTACAATTCTGGTTGGGATCGGTTTATTTTTCATCAGGATTGGCCAAACTTTAAAAAAATATGTTTCTGTAAAATTTTAAACTTTCATGCCCATTTCTTATAAAATATGATTAACAAACATGTTTTTCTCCAGTTGTGCCTAGTTTTAAGAATTTAAACACAAGTTAAAAAAAATTATTTGTTTTATTTTAATTATTTTTTTTTCTATTTCTAAAAATTTCTATTCGACTTTTCTCTACATATTTTATTAGGTATCCATGTGATGCATTGATTTATAGCAAATATTTTACAAGAAACATCTAATTTTGATGTAATTTTTTTTCCCCATTTTGTTAAAATAGGAAACTAATTCTATTAAATTATTAAGAGCTAATGTGTGCCTTTCAATGCAGAAACCATCATTTAAAAGGATTGAAACAGAGATCTATAAAATTAAAAGCTTTGGGGATATTCTTTGGGATTCTCCTTAAGCATTATCACAACCTTCACGTCAACCCCTTTGTTTCTTTGGCTGATTTATCTTTACTCATAGTCTTGCAATCAAAGGTTAAAATAATTTTATATTCTCAACCTCATATCTAAAGTCGCCCGGGTTGTGAAATGTTAGAGAAGGATATGGAGATAACGAGCAGTATTCAATCTCAAAGTCCATTAAACAATATACAAAATAAGAGCAGAGGAAACACGGACCTCCGAAACATCAGAGGTGGGATCAGATTCCATGGAGGAGTGAGCATCCCCTGCCGAGCGGTCACAACCGCCGTGTGCTCGTTGTCATGATCAGGAAATAATGGGGGGGGGGGGAATCTGTCGTCAATTCAGTATATAAATAATGGACTAACAATTAATATGAAAAACTTCAGTCAGCATTTGACTGAGAGCGTCTTCTCTATAAATCGTGAAGTGAGGTGTTGATCCTGAACTCGATAGTTCGAATCCAACTGTGGGACATGTACACCGGTTCCTCTGGTGAGACCGTATAAACCGAAGTCCCGTGTCGCAGTAGGTGCTGGCACGAAAAAGATCCCTCCCTGCTCAGTAGTCCTGAGTGTCGAGTATAGTACAGAATATACTGCTCTCTACCAGCAAATGGTGACATCTCCATATGAGTGAACAATTTTCGAAAAATTCAATCAATCACTCACATATTTTACATTGTTCAGGAAGTTTTTAATAAAGTTTCTTTGAGGGAAAAAATCCACCCTATTCTGATAACTAGACCATCAGCTTTCATAGTATTTATCTAGAAACATCTTGCTAGATTTCAACATAATTTCTCCTCATTTAGGTTTTGAAAAATTGATCAAGTTCAATAACAAATCATTCCTTAACTAAATAAACTGATTGCTCAAATTTATTTCTTCAAAGTATGGAACTTTTGTCTTTACAAACAAACATCAACCTCCAGTTTTTTTTGTATATTCCAAATGAAATTTCTAACAAAATTAATTAAACATTTCTTTAATGTTCAATCAAAGCATCATGTTCAAGACAAGATTTAACTTTATTTTAAAAAAATGTCAAAAAAACCGTCATGTTAAAACAAGCAATCAGCGTCATTTTAATTGAAACCCATTTTTCCTGATAAAGCTATGTTTTTGTTTTCATAACTTCTTCGCTTCGTTGACCATACGATATCGGTGTTTTCATCGTTGACTTGAAGGGATTTCATCATCCTCGATACATATATTCTGTCTCACTGGCGTATCTGTAAAACATTTTAAAAATTATACCTAAGAGTCCTAATTCTCTTTTTATCTTTTCTGTTTAAAGGAGATACTAAGATAAATAAAAAAACAGCTTAAAAACTTTTTTACATTCCACTTAGAAACCATACATCAAGCATGAAAATCAGTCAATAACATTTTCACTATGAATATAGTTCAATATTTTTTTTTTTAAAATTAATATCATTGCATCTAATACAAGAGGCCCATGGGCCACATTGCTCACCTCAGCACTGTGGCTAGCATAAAAGCAAAAATTAGTTAATTATTGAAAAGTTTAAACCCAAAAAAGTCCCAACCATTCCTTAAAGGGGATAGGGTATGATTTGCACAAACCTGAGTCTAAACTTCCTGAGAATGCTTCCATATAAATATATGTATGACCAATTACATCTTTGCTATTCTCGACAAAATATTTAAAGAATTTTATTATATATTTCTATGTTAAACTTTGGTCAGCCAGTGTGGCCCTGCCCAACCACCGGGGGTGGTGGTTGAAACAAATTTGAATCTACACTAACTGAGAATGCTTCCGTATAAATATGATCAATCATGGCTTTGCTATTCTTTAGTTTTTAATACATTTTTCCTACATATTTCAATGTGAAACTTTGCTCGGTCATTGTGGACGCTGCCAAGCCCCGGGTGTCATGTCATGATTTGAACTTGAATCTACACTAACTGAGGATGCTTCCAAATGAATATGACCAATCATGGCTTTTTTATTCTTGGGAAGTTATTTAAAGAATTGTCCTCTATATTTCTTTTTAAAACAATGGTCAGTCATTGTGGCCCCGCCCTACCCCTGGGGGTCATGATTTCTATAAACTTGAAGATACACTACCTGATGATGATTCCATATAAATATGACCAAACATGGCTTTGTTTTTTACTAATTCATAATTATGCCCCCTTTGAAGGGGGCATAGCCCTTCATTTGAACAAATTTGAATCCCCTTAACTAAAACATACTTTGTGGCAAGTTTTGTTGAAATTGGCCCAGAAGTTCCTGAGAAGACGATGAAAATGTGAAAAGTTTACAGACTAACGGACAGACAGAGGGACATACAGACTGACAGACGGATGCTGGACAAGATGTGATCAGAAAAGCTCACTTAAGATTTCAGTTCAGGTGAGCTGATAAACTGATTCCAAAACCAAACCTAATTCTCTTATTTGAGGTTTTATTATCCTACCAACTACAACACTGCTTGTTGAAATTAAACTTATATTTTTGGTCTACCTTCATTCTTTCTGTCTTGCTTTAATTCCAAGTTCTCTTCTTTTCCTTGTTCGATTCCACTTGTGCTCGAGACAGGATCTGAAAATTTCAATTGTTCTTTGGAAGAAACCATTCATCAAGCATGGGAAACAGTCAGTTATATTTTCATCATGAATAAAGTTCAATAATTTTAATTTACATTAGTTTCATTGCATCTAGTTTAAACTGAACCCAAAACTTAACCTCTAATTTGGAGTTTTATCATCCTACCACCTACAACATTGGTTGTTGTCTTTTGAATGAAATAAAAAGAATTCATATAGTTTGATAACTAATTGTTGATAAGCTTTGGTCTACCTTCAATCTTTCTTTCTTGCTTTCCTTTCAAGTCCTCTTCTTTTCCTTGCTCCATTCCACTTGTGGATGAGACAGGATCTGAAAATTTCATTTGTTCTTTTGAAGAAATCATTCATCAAGCATGAGAATCAGTTAATTATATTTTCACCATGAATATAGTTCAAACAATATTCTTTACATTAATTTCATTGCATAAAGTTTAAACCGAAACCAAATCAAAAACTCTAATTGGAGTTTTATCATCCTACCAACTACCACATTGCTTGTTGTCCTTTGAATGAAATTAAACAGAATTCATAAAGTATGATAACTAATTGTTGATAAGTTTTGATCTACCTTCTATCTTCTTTTCTTGCTTTTCTTTCATCTCCTCTTTTCCAGGTTTAGAGAGTCGAGATTCATCTATTAATTAAATATAGTTTAACTTGAAATCTTCCTCATAATTATTACTTACTCATGTTTCTAAGCGAAGAAATTATTTGTTTTGGATCATCATTGTATGAAAATCTAATGAAGTAATCAGTATGTGCTTACATTATTCTGTTCTTTCAGTGAGATTTAAGGGGTAAATATATTAAGGTTAGGATTGAGGTTAAGATTAAGGTTAAGGTTAGGGTTAGGGTTAATTTGATATAATGGTTTATGTAAAGATTTAAGTTTGGTACTAAGATCACATACAAAGTATGACTTGAGATTTAAAAGAAAACAAATTTACCACGGAATATATATATTTTGTGAATTAATTTTCAGTTTAATACAGTTGACGTAAAGAAGTTTTCAAGAGAATTGTCTATTCCAATAAATTCCCCTCATGGACAAAGTCAATATTTCATGACTCATATTATCGGGTCAAGAGAAGATATTTATTTATTTGCATGTTTCATTACGCAATTTTTACACTTCGGATCAGGGTCTTCACTGTGACCCTTTCAATACGGTATTACTTATATCTTCAACTTAAGTCATTTTCTCTTATTTATATCTCTAATTTTGATGATCGTTAAAACTACTTTATTTCTTATTAAATCGGTCATTTTTCAACCACATATTGAAGTTTGTTCTCATTCTAAGAAAATATTTTAATCTCCAGCATTAAAAAAAAAGATTCCTTTTCCTCTATTCCACTTACCGGGTTCTTCGACTTTCTTTGACATCTTCCTACTGTCTCGTTTAGTAAAATGGCGGCTCAAACCTACAAGTATGCACGTGACAATAAAAATAGAACTGACGTAAAGGTTCTGGAACTCTCTATGGTAAAATATCTCTCAGTAAAACTGGACCTACAATTATCACGTGATTTTTTTTTTTTTTGGCATTGACAAGATGCAACTGAGTTACAATAAAAGCCCCATTAGCCTACCCCTAACAAAGAGTAAAAGCTGCATCAATATGCTAATAAACATTCTTTAGAGTAAGAGTTGTACCAAACTGCATGATAGAAAAGAGGGGTTAGGGAGCGGCAGAGAATTATTCTTGTTATACGAAATGAAATTATTATTTTTTTTATTGTAACACTTGCTTCCTTGTGATTTCAATAATCTCTCTATATATCCAAACAAATGATTTCGAAGCAAGCTTTGGACAAAAGGGTATAAAATCTCAATATATACTAATATTTGACTCGAAAAGATCTGTAATTAATCAGCGACTTTCATCTTAAAAAAAAAATAAAAAGAGCTATAAAATGAACGATCCCATCGGGAATCGAACCCGGCACCCCTTAATCTGAAGTCCGCTGTTCTACCTACTGAGCCAAAGTGTATGATGGAAATGACGATATAAACTTTAATAGTTTCGCTACACAAAGTATTTAAATTAAAAAAACAATAACCACGCCTACTGAAATCACGTGACAGAAAGTGACATTGACGAGATGGCTCCGGAGCAATCTTCGTAAAACCTCCTATACCCTAACCCTAACCCTAACCCTAACCCTAACCCTAACCCTGAAGTCAATTTTTTTCGCGGACATTTGTACAACAAACTTTGTGCAAAAATAATGCAATATAAAGAGAGTATTAAGATACCAGCGTAATTTTCTACCATGGATTGGATCAAGGATTTTTTCCAAGAAGGGGGGGGGGACCACAGTAAAAAACAATCCATTTTAACTCTTCAATTTCCTGGCAAGCAAAATAAAAGTTGCCAAACGTGAAATTACTATTTCATAGCTGGAGGGGGGTGGAGTGATTGAGAGAAATTTGTTGATAAGCGAAAAAAAAAAAAACAACAACACACACGCACACGCACAAACGTGAAAATCATAGGTAGACGAGGGGTGGGGGGGGGGGTTGACAGATATTTGCTGACAAGTAATGAATTCTAATGCTTTAATATCTATTACTTCTCATACAAACTTAAACTGGGTCTGCGTCACAAAAGTAGTCTCCGTTTTAAGTCGTGGCGGTCTAAAGGTAACTTTTTATTTGCTTTTTTTTTTTTTTATCAGTTTAATATCTCTAAAAACTCAACGGAGGGGGGTGGGGGGCGGACCCACCACCGCACCCCCTCAAGATCTGCGCATGGAACATAATTAAAAATTAGACATTTCGAAGAATTATGACCCCAATGAAAAAAGTACGTTTCAATTATTTGATATTTCTAGACCTAATGTTTTCAACAAGTTTAAGAAAAATAAGATCTAGTAAAATGATCAATATCCAAAGTATTACCTTTTCTTGTTAACAAAAACCGGAAAACAATATTTTATATCTTACTTAAAGATACCAGATTAGTGTAAGATACCAGGTTAGGTTTAAGATACCAGGTTAGGTTTAAGATACCAGGTTAAGTTTAAGATACCAGGTTAAGTTTAAGATACCAGGTTAGGTTTAAGATACCAGGTTAGGTTTAAGATACCAGGTAAGGTTTAAGATACCAGGTAAGGTTTAAGATACCAGGTTAGGCTTAAGCTACCAGGTTAGGTTTAAGATACCAGGTTAGGTTTAAGATACCAGGTTAAGTTTAAGATACCAGGTTAGGTTTAAGATTAAGGTTAGGTTTAAGATACCAGGTTAGGTTTAAGATACCAGGTTAGGTTTAAGATACCAGGTAAGGTTTAAGATACCAGGTTAAGTTTAAGATACCAGGTTAGGTTTAAGATACCAGGTTAAGGTTAGGTTTGAAGATAAAGGTTAAGGTTAGGGTTAAAGATTGATATTAAAGGAAGGTTTAAAAGTTAATGAGGGGTTGAAGATTTAGATTAAATTTTAGTTCTTGTTTCAGAGTGGAATCTTGATATGGTAACTAATCAAACAAATCTTCATTTTTGAAAAGGGTTAACATAAGAAGGTTTACTATCAAGGTAACCATTAGGTTTCAGATTCAGGTTAGGTTTAAGATTGAATTTAATGTTATGGTTAAGATTAAGATTCAGATTAGAGTTAAGGATGGGTTAAAGAGTAAAAATATGTTTGAGTTAAATTGATGATAAATTAAGGTTGTGATTTAGGTTTAAGTTATGGTTAAAGTTTAGTTTATGGTTAAGAGATAGATTAAGGATAAGCTTGAGGTTTGAAGATTAAGATTGACGTAAAAGTGAAGGTTTACTTCTAGGTTAAGATTCAAATTAAGGTTTGAATTTGGATTACATATAATATTTAGTTTAAGATTAAGAACAAATGTTAAAGTGGAATGCCAGGCCAACTCTTTCTTTTATAGATCTTTGTGGCATCCTTTTTAAAGAATGGTATGAGGCATTAAAAGGCCGATATTAGCTCTGATTTTTTCTTTTGTATATTTTTAAAGAAAAATAAAGAAAAAAGTATTTATATCCAAATCAGATGTTTTCTACTTAAAAGTTTGCTGTAAATGAATGCATCATATAAATGTCTAATAAAATATACAAAGAAATGCTGCAAAGACTTTTTAAATTAATTTTATACCAATTATTTATGAAATTGAAATTCATCATTTGTGAAATATTTTTAAACCTATGGTTAAAAACACCATGAAACTAGTCATAACTTAAGAGAACATGTTTTCCAATCACATTTTAAAGAGAAATTGAACTGAAATTGCAAAAATTTAGGGGAAAAAATAATTTTTTTAAAATTTGTTATTTAACCCGATCAAAATTACACCGATCCTCATCAAAATTTCAACATAATAACTACAAAACTAGTTTATTGCCTTTTTCATGGATTTACTATTAAAGAATATATTTGATTGTCAAGTTCAATTTTTTTTAAACTCCTATTATACCGAATGAGACGAGTTTTCTTCGAGAAATGTTATTTATATCTAATAAATGTACAATTCTGGTTGGGATCGGTTTATTTTTCATCAGGATTGGCCAAACTTTAAAAAAATATGTTTCTGTAAAATTTTAAACTTTCATGCCCATTTCTTATAAAATATGATTAACAAACATGTTTTTCTCCAGTTGTGCCTAGTTTTAAGAATTTAAACACAAGTTAAAAAAAATTATTTGTTTTATTTTAATTATTTTTTTTTCTATTTCTAAAAATTTCTATTCGACTTTTCTCTACATATTTTATTAGGTATCCATGTGATGCATTGATTTATAGCAAATATTTTACAAGAAACATCTAATTTTGATGTAATTTTTTTTCCCCATTTTGTTAAAATAGGAAACTAATTCTATTAAATTATTAAGAGCTAATGTGTGCCTTTCAATGCAGAAACCATCATTTAAAAGGATTGAAACAGAGATCTATAAAATTAAAAGCTTTGGGGATATTCTTTGGGATTCTCCTTAAGCATTATCACAACCTTCACGTCAACCCCTTTGTTTCTTTGGCTGATTTATCTTTACTCATAGTCTTGCAATCAAAGGTTAAAATAATTTTATATTCTCAACCTCATATCTAAAGTCGCCCGGGTTGTGAAATGTTAGAGAAGGATATGGAGATAACGAGCAGTATTCAATCTCAAAGTCCATTAAACAATATACAAAATAAGAGCAGAGGAAACACGGACCTCCGAAACATCAGAGGTGGGATCAGATTCCATGGAGGAGTGAGCATCCCCTGCCGAGCGGTCACAACCGCCGTGTGCTCGTTGTCATGATCAGGAAATAATGGGGGGGGGGGGAATCTGTCGTCAATTCAGTATATAAATAATGGACTAACAATTAATATGAAAAACTTCAGTCAGCATTTGACTGAGAGCGTCTTCTCTATAAATCGTGAAGTGAGGTGTTGATCCTGAACTCGATAGTTCGAATCCAACTGTGGGACATGTACACCGGTTCCTCTGGTGAGACCGTATAAACCGAAGTCCCGTGTCGCAGTAGGTGCTGGCACGAAAAAGATCCCTCCCTGCTCAGTAGTCCTGAGTGTCGAGTATAGTACAGAATATACTGCTCTCTACCAGCAAATGGTGACATCTCCATATGAGTGAACAATTTTCGAAAAATTCAATCAATCACTCACATATTTTACATTGTTCAGGAAGTTTTTAATAAAGTTTCTTTGAGGGAAAAAATCCACCCTATTCTGATAACTAGACCATCAGCTTTCATAGTATTTATCTAGAAACATCTTGCTAGATTTCAACATAATTTCTCCTCATTTAGGTTTTGAAAAATTGATCAAGTTCAATAACAAATCATTCCTTAACTAAATAAACTGATTGCTCAAATTTATTTCTTCAAAGTATGGAACTTTTGTCTTTACAAACAAACATCAACCTCCAGTTTTTTTTGTATATTCCAAATGAAATTTCTAACAAAATTAATTAAACATTTCTTTAATGTTCAATCAAAGCATCATGTTCAAGACAAGATTTAACTTTATTTTAAAAAAATGTCAAAAAAACCGTCATGTTAAAACAAGCAATCAGCGTCATTTTAATTGAAACCCATTTTTCCTGATAAAGCTATGTTTTTGTTTTCATAACTTCTTCGCTTCGTTGACCATACGATATCGGTGTTTTCATCGTTGACTTGAAGGGATTTCATCATCCTCGATACATATATTCTGTCTCACTGGCGTATCTGTAAAACATTTTAAAAATTATACCTAAGAGTCCTAATTCTCTTTTTATCTTTTCTGTTTAAAGGAGATACTAAGATAAATAAAAAAACAGCTTAAAAACTTTTTTACATTCCACTTAGAAACCATACATCAAGCATGAAAATCAGTCAATAACATTTTCACTATGAATATAGTTCAATATTTTTTTTTTTAAAATTAATATCATTGCATCTAATACAAGAGGCCCATGGGCCACATTGCTCACCTCAGCACTGTGGCTAGCATAAAAGCAAAAATTAGTTAATTATTGAAAAGTTTAAACCCAAAAAAGTCCCAACCATTCCTTAAAGGGGATAGGGTATGATTTGCACAAACCTGAGTCTAAACTTCCTGAGAATGCTTCCATATAAATATATGTATGACCAATTACATCTTTGCTATTCTCGACAAAATATTTAAAGAATTTTATTATATATTTCTATGTTAAACTTTGGTCAGCCAGTGTGGCCCTGCCCAACCACCGGGGGTGGTGGTTGAAACAAATTTGAATCTACACTAACTGAGAATGCTTCCGTATAAATATGATCAATCATGGCTTTGCTATTCTTTAGTTTTTAATACATTTTTCCTACATATTTCAATGTGAAACTTTGCTCGGTCATTGTGGACGCTGCCAAGCCCCGGGTGTCATGTCATGATTTGAACTTGAATCTACACTAACTGAGGATGCTTCCAAATGAATATGACCAATCATGGCTTTTTTATTCTTGGGAAGTTATTTAAAGAATTGTCCTCTATATTTCTTTTTAAAACAATGGTCAGTCATTGTGGCCCCGCCCTACCCCTGGGGGTCATGATTTCTATAAACTTGAAGATACACTACCTGATGATGATTCCATATAAATATGACCAAACATGGCTTTGTTTTTTACTAATTCATAATTATGTCCCCTTTGAAGGGGGCATAGCCCTTCATTTGAACAAATTTGAATCCCCTTAACTAAAACATACTTTGTGGCAAGTTTTGTTGAAATTGGCCCAGAAGTTCCTGAGAAGACGATGAAAATGTGAAAAGTTTACAGACTAACGGACAGACAGAGGGACATACAGACTGACAGACGGATGCTGGACAAGATGTGATCAGAAAAGCTCACTTAAGATTTCAGTTCAGGTGAGCTGATAAACTGATTCCAAAACCAAACCTAATTCTCTTATTTGAGGTTTTATTATCCTACCAACTACAACACTGCTTGTTGAAATTAAACTTATATTTTTGGTCTACCTTCATTCTTTCTGTCTTGCTTTAATTCCAAGTTCTCTTCTTTTCCTTGTTCGATTCCACTTGTGCTCGAGACAGGATCTGAAAATTTCAATTGTTCTTTGGAAGAAACCATTCATCAAGCATGGGAAACAGTCAGTTATATTTTCATCATGAATAAAGTTCAATAATTTTAATTTACATTAGTTTCATTGCATCTAGTTTAAACTGAACCCAAAACTTAACCTCTAATTTGGAGTTTTATCATCCTACCACCTACAACATTGGTTGTTGTCTTTTGAATGAAATAAAAAGAATTCATATAGTTTGATAACTAATTGTTGATAAGCTTTGGTCTACCTTCAATCTTTCTTTCTTGCTTTCCTTTCAAGTCCTCTTCTTTTCCTTGCTCCATTCCACTTGTGGATGAGACAGGATCTGAAAATTTCATTTGTTCTTTTGAAGAAATCATTCATCAAGCATGAGAATCAGTTAATTATATTTTCACCATGAATATAGTTCAAACAATATTCTTTACATTAATTTCATTGCATAAAGTTTAAACCGAAACCAAATCAAAAACTCTAATTGGAGTTTTATCATCCTACCAACTACCACATTGCTTGTTGTCCTTTGAATGAAATTAAACAGAATTCATAAAGTATGATAACTAATTGTTGATAAGTTTTGATCTACCTTCTATCTTCTTTTCTTGCTTTTCTTTCATCTCCTCTTTTCCAGGTTTAGAGAGTCGAGATTCATCTATTAATTAAATATAGTTTAACTTGAAATCTTCCTCATAATTATTACTTACTCATGTTTCTAAGCGAAGAAATTATTTGTTTTGGATCATCATTGTATGAAAATCTAATGAAGTAATCAGTATGTGCTTACATTATTCTGTTCTTTCAGTGAGATTTAAGGGGTAAATATATTAAGGTTAGGATTGAGGTTAAGATTAAGGTTAAGGTTAGGGTTAGGGTTAATTTGATATAATGGTTTATGTAAAGATTTAAGTTTGGTACTAAGATCACATACAAAGTATGACTTGAGATTTAAAAGAAAACAAATTTACCACGGAATATATATATTTTGTGAATTAATTTTCAGTTTAATACAGTTGACGTAAAGAAGTTTTCAAGAGAATTGTCTATTCCAATAAATTCCCCTCATGGACAAAGTCAATATTTCATGACTCATATTATCGGGTCAAGAGAAGATATTTATTTATTTGCATGTTTCATTACGCAATTTTTACACTTCGGATCAGGGTCTTCACTGTGACCCTTTCAATACGGTATTACTTATATCTTCAACTTAAGTCATTTTCTCTTATTTATATCTCTAATTTTGATGATCGTTAAAACTACTTTATTTCTTATTAAATCGGTCATTTTTCAACCACATATTGAAGTTTGTTCTCATTCTAAGAAAATATTTTAATCTCCAGCATTAAAAAAAAAGATTCCTTTTCCTCTATTCCACTTACCGGGTTCTTCGACTTTCTTTGACATCTTCCTACTGTCTCGTTTAGTAAAATGGCGGCTCAAACCTACAAGTATGCACGTGACAATAAAAATAGAACTGACGTAAAGGTTCTGGAACTCTCTATGGTAAAATATCTCTCAGTAAAACTGGACCTACAATTATCACGTGATTTTTTTTTTTTTTGGCATTGACAAGATGCAACTGAGTTACAATAAAAGCCCCATTAGCCTACCCCTAACAAAGAGTAAAAGCTGCATCAATATGCTAATAAACATTCTTTAGAGTAAGAGTTGTACCAAACTGCATGATAGAAAAGAGGGGTTAGGGAGCGGCAGAGAATTATTCTTGTTATACGAAATGAAATTATTATTTTTTTTATTGTAACACTTGCTTCCTTGTGATTTCAATAATCTCTCTATATATCCAAACAAATGATTTCGAAGCAAGCTTTGGACAAAAGGGTATAAAATCTCAATATATACTAATATTTGACTCGAAAAGATCTGTAATTAATCAGCGACTTTCATCTTAAAAAAAAAATAAAAAGAGCTATAAAATGAACGATCCCATCGGGAATCGAACCCGGCACCCCTTAATCTGAAGTCCGCTGTTCTACCTACTGAGCCAAAGTGTATGATGGAAATGACGAAATAAACTTTAATAGTTTCGCTACACAAAGTATTTAAATTAAAAAAACAATAACCACGCCTACTGAAATCACGTGACAGAAAGTGACATTGACGAGATGGCTCCGGAGCAATCTTCGTAAAACCTCCTATACCCTAACCCTAACCCTAACCCTAACCCTAACCCTAACCCTGAAGTCAATTTTTTTCGCGGACATTTGTACAACAAACTTTGTGCAAAAATAATGCAATATAAAGAGAGTATTAAGATACCAGCGTAATTTTCTACCATGGATTGGATCAAGGATTTTTTCCAAGAAGGGGGGGGGGGACCACAGTAAAAAACAATCCATTTTAACTCTTCAATTTCCTGGCAAGCAAAATAAAAGTTGCCAAACGTGAAATTACTATTTCATAGCTGGAGGGGGGTGGAGTGATTGAGAGAAATTTGTTGATAAGCGAAAAAAAAAAAAACAACAACACACACGCACACGCACAAACGTGAAAATCATAGGTAGACGAGGGGTGGGGGGGGGGTTGACAGATATTTGCTGACAAGTAATGAATTCTAATGCTTTAATATCTATTACTTCTCATACAAACTTAAACTGGGTCTGCGTCACAAAAGTAGTCTCCGTTTTAAGTCGTGGCGGTCTAAAGGTAACTTTTTATTTGCTTTTTTTTTTTTTTATCAGTTTAATATCTCTAAAAACTCAACGGAGGGGGGTGGGGGGCGGACCCACCACCGCACCCCCTCAAGATCTGCGCATGGAACATAATTAAAAATTAGACATTTCGAAGAATTATGACCCCAATGAAAAAAGTACGTTTCAATTATTTGATATTTCTAGACCTAATGTTTTCAACAAGTTTAAGAAAAATAAGATCTAGTAAAATGATCAATATCCAAAGTATTACCTTTTCTTGTTAACAAAAACCGGAAAACAATATTTTATATCTTACTTAAAGATACCAGATTAGTGTAAGATACCAGGTTAGGTTTAAGATACCAGGTTAGGTTTAAGATACCAGGTTAAGTTTAAGATACCAGGTTAAGTTTAAGATACCAGGTTAGGTTTAAGATACCAGGTTAGGTTTAAGATACCAGGTAAGGTTTAAGATACCAGGTAAGGTTTAAGATACCAGGTTAGGCTTAAGCTACCAGGTTAGGTTTAAGATACCAGGTTAGGTTTAAGATACCAGGTTAAGTTTAAGATACCAGGTTAGGTTTAAGATTAAGGTTAGGTTTAAGATACCAGGTTAGGTTTAAGATACCAGGTTAGGTTTAAGATACCAGGTAAGGTTTAAGATACCAGGTTAAGTTTAAGATACCAGGTTAGGTTTAAGATACCAGGTTAAGGTTAGGTTTGAAGATAAAGGTTAAGGTTAGGGTTAAAGATTGATATTAAAGGAAGGTTTAAAAGTTAATGAGGGGTTGAAGATTTAGATTAAATTTTAGTTCTTGTTTCAGAGTGGAATCTTGATATGGTAACTAATCAAACAAATCTTCATTTTTGAAAAGGGTTAACATAAGAAGGTTTACTATCAAGGTAACCATTAGGTTTCAGATTCAGGTTAGGTTTAAGATTGAATTTAATGTTATGGTTAAGATTAAGATTCAGATTAGAGTTAAGGATGGGTTAAAGAGTAAAAATATGTTTGAGTTAAATTGATGATAAATTAAGGTTGTGATTTAGGTTTAAGTTATGGTTAAAGTTTAGTTTATGGTTAAGAGATAGATTAAGGATAAGCTTGAGGTTTGAAGATTAAGATTGACGTAAAAGTGAAGGTTTACTTCTAGGTTAAGATTCAAATTAAGGTTTGAATTTGGATTACATATAATATTTAGTTTAAGATTAAGAACAAATGTTAAAGTGGAATGCCAGGCCAACTCTTTCTTTTATAGATCTTTGTGGCATCCTTTTTAAAGAATGGTATGAGGCATTAAAAGGCCGATATTAGCTCTGATTTTTTCTTTTGTATATTTTTAAAGAAAAATAAAGAAAAAAGTATTTATATCCAAATCAGATGTTTTCTACTTAAAAGTTTGCTGTAAATGAATGCATCATATAAATGTCTAATAAAATATACAAAGAAATGCTGCAAAGACTTTTTAAATTAATTTTATACCAATTATTTATGAAATTGAAATTCATCATTTGTGAAATATTTTTAAACCTATGGTTAAAAACACCATGAAACTAGTCATAACTTAAGAGAACATGTTTTCCAATCACATTTTAAAGAGAAATTGAACTGAAATTGCAAAAATTTAGGGGAAAAAATAATTTTTTTAAAATTTGTTATTTAACCCGATCAAAATTACACCGATCCTCATCAAAATTTCAACATAATAACTACAAAACTAGTTTATTGCCTTTTTCATGGATTTACTATTAAAGAATATATTTGATTGTCAAGTTCAATTTTTTTTAAACTCCTATTATACCGAATGAGACGAGTTTTCTTCGAGAAATGTTATTTATATCTAATAAATGTACAATTCTGGTTGGGATCGGTTTATTTTTCATCAGGATTGGCCAAACTTTAAAAAAATATGTTTCTGTAAAATTTTAAACTTTCATGCCCATTTCTTATAAAATATGATTAACAAACATGTTTTTCTCCAGTTGTGCCTAGTTTTAAGAATTTAAACACAAGTTAAAAAAAATTATTTGTTTTATTTTAATTATTTTTTTTTCTATTTCTAAAAATTTCTATTCGACTTTTCTCTACATATTTTATTAGGTATCCATGTGATGCATTGATTTATAGCAAATATTTTACAAGAAACATCTAATTTTGATGTAATTTTTTTTCCCCATTTTGTTAAAATAGGAAACTAATTCTATTAAATTATTAAGAGCTAATGTGTGCCTTTCAATGCAGAAACCATCATTTAAAAGGATTGAAACAGAGATCTATAAAATTAAAAGCTTTGGGGATATTCTTTGGGATTCTCCTTAAGCATTATCACAACCTTCACGTCAACCCCTTTGTTTCTTTGGCTGATTTATCTTTACTCATAGTCTTGCAATCAAAGGTTAAAATAATTTTATATTCTCAACCTCATATCTAAAGTCGCCCGGGTTGTGAAATGTTAGAGAAGGATATGGAGATAACGAGCAGTATTCAATCTCAAAGTCCATTAAACAATATACAAAATAAGAGCAGAGGAAACACGGACCTCCGAAACATCAGAGGTGGGATCAGATTCCATGGAGGAGTGAGCATCCCCTGCCGAGCGGTCACAACCGCCGTGTGCTCGTTGTCATGATCAGGAAATAATGGGGGGGGGGGGAATCTGTCGTCAATTCAGTATATAAATAATGGACTAACAATTAATATGAAAAACTTCAGTCAGCATTTGACTGAGAGCGTCTTCTCTATAAATCGTGAAGTGAGGTGTTGATCCTGAACTCGATAGTTCGAATCCAACTGTGGGACATGTACACCGGTTCCTCTGGTGAGACCGTATAAACCGAAGTCCCGTGTCGCAGTAGGTGCTGGCACGAAAAAGATCCCTCCCTGCTCAGTAGTCCTGAGTGTCGAGTATAGTACAGAATATACTGCTCTCTACCAGCAAATGGTGACATCTCCATATGAGTGAACAATTTTCGAAAAATTCAATCAATCACTCACATATTTTACATTGTTCAGGAAGTTTTTAATAAAGTTTCTTTGAGGGAAAAAATCCACCCTATTCTGATAACTAGACCATCAGCTTTCATAGTATTTATCTAGAAACATCTTGCTAGATTTCAACATAATTTCTCCTCATTTAGGTTTTGAAAAATTGATCAAGTTCAATAACAAATCATTCCTTAACTAAATAAACTGATTGCTCAAATTTATTTCTTCAAAGTATGGAACTTTTGTCTTTACAAACAAACATCAACCTCCAGTTTTTTTTGTATATTCCAAATGAAATTTCTAACAAAATTAATTAAACATTTCTTTAATGTTCAATCAAAGCATCATGTTCAAGACAAGATTTAACTTTATTTTAAAAAAATGTCAAAAAAACCGTCATGTTAAAACAAGCAATCAGCGTCATTTTAATTGAAACCCATTTTTCCTGATAAAGCTATGTTTTTGTTTTCATAACTTCTTCGCTTCGTTGACCATACGATATCGGTGTTTTCATCGTTGACTTGAAGGGATTTCATCATCCTCGATACATATATTCTGTCTCACTGGCGTATCTGTAAAACATTTTAAAAATTATACCTAAGAGTCCTAATTCTCTTTTTATCTTTTCTGTTTAAAGGAGATACTAAGATAAATAAAAAAACAGCTTAAAAACTTTTTTACATTCCACTTAGAAACCATACATCAAGCATGAAAATCAGTCAATAACATTTTCACTATGAATATAGTTCAATATTTTTTTTTTTAAAATTAATATCATTGCATCTAATACAAGAGGCCCATGGGCCACATTGCTCACCTCAGCACTGTGGCTAGCATAAAAGCAAAAATTAGTTAATTATTGAAAAGTTTAAACCCAAAAAAGTCCCAACCATTCCTTAAAGGGGATAGGGTATGATTTGCACAAACCTGAGTCTAAACTTCCTGAGAATGCTTCCATATAAATATATGTATGACCAATTACATCTTTGCTATTCTCGACAAAATATTTAAAGAATTTTATTATATATTTCTATGTTAAACTTTGGTCAGCCAGTGTGGCCCTGCCCAACCACCGGGGGTGGTGGTTGAAACAAATTTGAATCTACACTAACTGAGAATGCTTCCGTATAAATATGATCAATCATGGCTTTGCTATTCTTTAGTTTTTAATACATTTTTCCTACATATTTCAATGTGAAACTTTGCTCGGTCATTGTGGACGCTGCCAAGCCCCGGGTGTCATGTCATGATTTGAACTTGAATCTACACTAACTGAGGATGCTTCCAAATGAATATGACCAATCATGGCTTTTTTATTCTTGGGAAGTTATTTAAAGAATTGTCCTCTATATTTCTTTTTAAAACAATGGTCAGTCATTGTGGCCCCGCCCTACCCCTGGGGGTCATGATTTCTATAAACTTGAAGATACACTACCTGATGATGATTCCATATAAATATGACCAAACATGGCTTTGTTTTTTACTAATTCATAATTATGTCCCCTTTGAAGGGGGCATAGCCCTTCATTTGAACAAATTTGAATCCCCTTAACTAAAACATACTTTGTGGCAAGTTTTGTTGAAATTGGCCCAGAAGTTCCTGAGAAGACGATGAAAATGTGAAAAGTTTACAGACTAACGGACAGACAGAGGGACATACAGACTGACAGACGGATGCTGGACAAGATGTGATCAGAAAAGCTCACTTAAGATTTCAGTTCAGGTGAGCTGATAAACTGATTCCAAAACCAAACCTAATTCTCTTATTTGAGGTTTTATTATCCTACCAACTACAACACTGCTTGTTGAAATTAAACTTATATTTTTGGTCTACCTTCATTCTTTCTGTCTTGCTTTAATTCCAAGTTCTCTTCTTTTCCTTGTTCGATTCCACTTGTGCTCGAGACAGGATCTGAAAATTTCAATTGTTCTTTGGAAGAAACCATTCATCAAGCATGGGAAACAGTCAGTTATATTTTCATCATGAATAAAGTTCAATAATTTTAATTTACATTAGTTTCATTGCATCTAGTTTAAACTGAACCCAAAACTTAACCTCTAATTTGGAGTTTTATCATCCTACCACCTACAACATTGGTTGTTGTCTTTTGAATGAAATAAAAAGAATTCATATAGTTTGATAACTAATTGTTGATAAGCTTTGGTCTACCTTCAATCTTTCTTTCTTGCTTTCCTTTCAAGTCCTCTTCTTTTCCTTGCTCCATTCCACTTGTGGATGAGACAGGATCTGAAAATTTCATTTGTTCTTTTGAAGAAATCATTCATCAAGCATGAGAATCAGTTAATTATATTTTCACCATGAATATAGTTCAAACAATATTCTTTACATTAATTTCATTGCATAAAGTTTAAACCGAAACCAAATCAAAAACTCTAATTGGAGTTTTATCATCCTACCAACTACCACATTGCTTGTTGTCCTTTGAATGAAATTAAACAGAATTCATAAAGTATGATAACTAATTGTTGATAAGTTTTGATCTACCTTCTATCTTCTTTTCTTGCTTTTCTTTCATCTCCTCTTTTCCAGGTTTAGAGAGTCGAGATTCATCTATTAATTAAATATAGTTTAACTTGAAATCTTCCTCATAATTATTACTTACTCATGTTTCTAAGCGAAGAAATTATTTGTTTTGGATCATCATTGTATGAAAATCTAATGAAGTAATCAGTATGTGCTTACATTATTCTGTTCTTTCAGTGAGATTTAAGGGGTAAATATATTAAGGTTAGGATTGAGGTTAAGATTAAGGTTAAGGTTAGGGTTAGGGTTAATTTGATATAATGGTTTATGTAAAGATTTAAGTTTGGTACTAAGATCACATACAAAGTATGACTTGAGATTTAAAAGAAAACAAATTTACCACGGAATATATATATTTTGTGAATTAATTTTCAGTTTAATACAGTTGACGTAAAGAAGTTTTCAAGAGAATTGTCTATTCCAATAAATTCCCCTCATGGACAAAGTCAATATTTCATGACTCATATTATCGGGTCAAGAGAAGATATTTATTTATTTGCATGTTTCATTACGCAATTTTTACACTTCGGATCAGGGTCTTCACTGTGACCCTTTCAATACGGTATTACTTATATCTTCAACTTAAGTCATTTTCTCTTATTTATATCTCTAATTTTGATGATCGTTAAAACTACTTTATTTCTTATTAAATCGGTCATTTTTCAACCACATATTGAAGTTTGTTCTCATTCTAAGAAAATATTTTAATCTCCAGCATTAAAAAAAAAGATTCCTTTTCCTCTATTCCACTTACCGGGTTCTTCGACTTTCTTTGACATCTTCCTACTGTCTCGTTTAGTAAAATGGCGGCTCAAACCTACAAGTATGCACGTGACAATAAAAATAGAACTGACGTAAAGGTTCTGGAACTCTCTATGGTAAAATATCTCTCAGTAAAACTGGACCTACAATTATCACGTGATTTTTTTTTTTTTTGGCATTGACAAGATGCAACTGAGTTACAATAAAAGCCCCATTAGCCTACCCCTAACAAAGAGTAAAAGCTGCATCAATATGCTAATAAACATTCTTTAGAGTAAGAGTTGTACCAAACTGCATGATAGAAAAGAGGGGTTAGGGAGCGGCAGAGAATTATTCTTGTTATACGAAATGAAATTATTATTTTTTTTATTGTAACACTTGCTTCCTTGTGATTTCAATAATCTCTCTATATATCCAAACAAATGATTTCGAAGCAAGCTTTGGACAAAAGGGTATAAAATCTCAATATATACTAATATTTGACTCGAAAAGATCTGTAATTAATCAGCGACTTTCATCTTAAAAAAAAAATAAAAAGAGCTATAAAATGAACGATCCCATCGGGAATCGAACCCGGCACCCCTTAATCTGAAGTCCGCTGTTCTACCTACTGAGCCAAAGTGTATGATGGAAATGACGAAATAAACTTTAATAGTTTCGCTACACAAAGTATTTAAATTAAAAAAACAATAACCACGCCTACTGAAATCACGTGACAGAAAGTGACATTGACGAGATGGCTCCGGAGCAATCTTCGTAAAACCTCCTATACCCTAACCCTAACCCTAACCCTAACCCTAACCCTAACCCTGAAGTCAATTTTTTTCGCGGACATTTGTACAACAAACTTTGTGCAAAAATAATGCAATATAAAGAGAGTATTAAGATACCAGCGTAATTTTCTACCATGGATTGGATCAAGGATTTTTTCCAAGAAGGGGGGGGGGGACCACAGTAAAAAACAATCCATTTTAACTCTTCAATTTCCTGGCAAGCAAAATAAAAGTTGCCAAACGTGAAATTACTATTTCATAGCTGGAGGGGGGTGGAGTGATTGAGAGAAATTTGTTGATAAGCGAAAAAAAAAAAAACAACAACACACACGCACACGCACAAACGTGAAAATCATAGGTAGACGAGGGGTGGGGGGGGGGTTGACAGATATTTGCTGACAAGTAATGAATTCTAATGCTTTAATATCTATTACTTCTCATACAAACTTAAACTGGGTCTGCGTCACAAAAGTAGTCTCCGTTTTAAGTCGTGGCGGTCTAAAGGTAACTTTTTATTTGCTTTTTTTTTTTTTTATCAGTTTAATATCTCTAAAAACTCAACGGAGGGGGGTGGGGGGCGGACCCACCACCGCACCCCCTCAAGATCTGCGCATGGAACATAATTAAAAATTAGACATTTCGAAGAATTATGACCCCAATGAAAAAAGTACGTTTCAATTATTTGATATTTCTAGACCTAATGTTTTCAACAAGTTTAAGAAAAATAAGATCTAGTAAAATGATCAATATCCAAAGTATTACCTTTTCTTGTTAACAAAAACCGGAAAACAATATTTTATATCTTACTTAAAGATACCAGATTAGTGTAAGATACCAGGTTAGGTTTAAGATACCAGGTTAGGTTTAAGATACCAGGTTAAGTTTAAGATACCAGGTTAAGTTTAAGATACCAGGTTAGGTTTAAGATACCAGGTTAGGTTTAAGATACCAGGTAAGGTTTAAGATACCAGGTAAGGTTTAAGATACCAGGTTAGGCTTAAGCTACCAGGTTAGGTTTAAGATACCAGGTTAGGTTTAAGATACCAGGTTAAGTTTAAGATACCAGGTTAGGTTTAAGATTAAGGTTAGGTTTAAGATACCAGGTTAGGTTTAAGATACCAGGTTAGGTTTAAGATACCAGGTAAGGTTTAAGATACCAGGTTAAGTTTAAGATACCAGGTTAGGTTTAAGATACCAGGTTAAGGTTAGGTTTGAAGATAAAGGTTAAGGTTAGGGTTAAAGATTGATATTAAAGGAAGGTTTAAAAGTTAATGAGGGGTTGAAGATTTAGATTAAATTTTAGTTCTTGTTTCAGAGTGGAATCTTGATATGGTAACTAATCAAACAAATCTTCATTTTTGAAAAGGGTTAACATAAGAAGGTTTACTATCAAGGTAACCATTAGGTTTCAGATTCAGGTTAGGTTTAAGATTGAATTTAATGTTATGGTTAAGATTAAGATTCAGATTAGAGTTAAGGATGGGTTAAAGAGTAAAAATATGTTTGAGTTAAATTGATGATAAATTAAGGTTGTGATTTAGGTTTAAGTTATGGTTAAAGTTTAGTTTATGGTTAAGAGATAGATTAAGGATAAGCTTGAGGTTTGAAGATTAAGATTGACGTAAAAGTGAAGGTTTACTTCTAGGTTAAGATTCAAATTAAGGTTTGAATTTGGATTACATATAATATTTAGTTTAAGATTAAGAACAAATGTTAAAGTGGAATGCCAGGCCAACTCTTTCTTTTATAGATCTTTGTGGCATCCTTTTTAAAGAATGGTATGAGGCATTAAAAGGCCGATATTAGCTCTGATTTTTTCTTTTGTATATTTTTAAAGAAAAATAAAGAAAAAAGTATTTATATCCAAATCAGATGTTTTCTACTTAAAAGTTTGCTGTAAATGAATGCATCATATAAATGTCTAATAAAATATACAAAGAAATGCTGCAAAGACTTTTTAAATTAATTTTATACCAATTATTTATGAAATTGAAATTCATCATTTGTGAAATATTTTTAAACCTATGGTTAAAAACACCATGAAACTAGTCATAACTTAAGAGAACATGTTTTCCAATCACATTTTAAAGAGAAATTGAACTGAAATTGCAAAAATTTAGGGGAAAAAATAATTTTTTTAAAATTTGTTATTTAACCCGATCAAAATTACACCGATCCTCATCAAAATTTCAACATAATAACTACAAAACTAGTTTATTGCCTTTTTCATGGATTTACTATTAAAGAATATATTTGATTGTCAAGTTCAATTTTTTTTAAACTCCTATTATACCGAATGAGACGAGTTTTCTTCGAGAAATGTTATTTATATCTAATAAATGTACAATTCTGGTTGGGATCGGTTTATTTTTCATCAGGATTGGCCAAACTTTAAAAAAATATGTTTCTGTAAAATTTTAAACTTTCATGCCCATTTCTTATAAAATATGATTAACAAACATGTTTTTCTCCAGTTGTGCCTAGTTTTAAGAATTTAAACACAAGTTAAAAAAAATTATTTGTTTTATTTTAATTATTTTTTTTTCTATTTCTAAAAATTTCTATTCGACTTTTCTCTACATATTTTATTAGGTATCCATGTGATGCATTGATTTATAGCAAATATTTTACAAGAAACATCTAATTTTGATGTAATTTTTTTTCCCCATTTTGTTAAAATAGGAAACTAATTCTATTAAATTATTAAGAGCTAATGTGTGCCTTTCAATGCAGAAACCATCATTTAAAAGGATTGAAACAGAGATCTATAAAATTAAAAGCTTTGGGGATATTCTTTGGGATTCTCCTTAAGCATTATCACAACCTTCACGTCAACCCCTTTGTTTCTTTGGCTGATTTATCTTTACTCATAGTCTTGCAATCAAAGGTTAAAATAATTTTATATTCTCAACCTCATATCTAAAGTCGCCCGGGTTGTGAAATGTTAGAGAAGGATATGGAGATAACGAGCAGTATTCAATCTCAAAGTCCATTAAACAATATACAAAATAAGAGCAGAGGAAACACGGACCTCCGAAACATCAGAGGTGGGATCAGATTCCATGGAGGAGTGAGCATCCCCTGCCGAGCGGTCACAACCGCCGTGTGCTCGTTGTCATGATCAGGAAATAATGGGGGGGGGGGGAATCTGTCGTCAATTCAGTATATAAATAATGGACTAACAATTAATATGAAAAACTTCAGTCAGCATTTGACTGAGAGCGTCTTCTCTATAAATCGTGAAGTGAGGTGTTGATCCTGAACTCGATAGTTCGAATCCAACTGTGGGACATGTACACCGGTTCCTCTGGTGAGACCGTATAAACCGAAGTCCCGTGTCGCAGTAGGTGCTGGCACGAAAAAGATCCCTCCCTGCTCAGTAGTCCTGAGTGTCGAGTATAGTACAGAATATACTGCTCTCTACCAGCAAATGGTGACATCTCCATATGAGTGAACAATTTTCGAAAAATTCAATCAATCACTCACATATTTTACATTGTTCAGGAAGTTTTTAATAAAGTTTCTTTGAGGGAAAAAATCCACCCTATTCTGATAACTAGACCATCAGCTTTCATAGTATTTATCTAGAAACATCTTGCTAGATTTCAACATAATTTCTCCTCATTTAGGTTTTGAAAAATTGATCAAGTTCAATAACAAATCATTCCTTAACTAAATAAACTGATTGCTCAAATTTATTTCTTCAAAGTATGGAACTTTTGTCTTTACAAACAAACATCAACCTCCAGTTTTTTTTGTATATTCCAAATGAAATTTCTAACAAAATTAATTAAACATTTCTTTAATGTTCAATCAAAGCATCATGTTCAAGACAAGATTTAACTTTATTTTAAAAAAATGTCAAAAAAACCGTCATGTTAAAACAAGCAATCAGCGTCATTTTAATTGAAACCCATTTTTCCTGATAAAGCTATGTTTTTGTTTTCATAACTTCTTCGCTTCGTTGACCATACGATATCGGTGTTTTCATCGTTGACTTGAAGGGATTTCATCATCCTCGATACATATATTCTGTCTCACTGGCGTATCTGTAAAACATTTTAAAAATTATACCTAAGAGTCCTAATTCTCTTTTTATCTTTTCTGTTTAAAGGAGATACTAAGATAAATAAAAAAACAGCTTAAAAACTTTTTTACATTCCACTTAGAAACCATACATCAAGCATGAAAATCAGTCAATAACATTTTCACTATGAATATAGTTCAATATTTTTTTTTTTAAAATTAATATCATTGCATCTAATACAAGAGGCCCATGGGCCACATTGCTCACCTCAGCACTGTGGCTAGCATAAAAGCAAAAATTAGTTAATTATTGAAAAGTTTAAACCCAAAAAAGTCCCAACCATTCCTTAAAGGGGATAGGGTATGATTTGCACAAACCTGAGTCTAAACTTCCTGAGAATGCTTCCATATAAATATATGTATGACCAATTACATCTTTGCTATTCTCGACAAAATATTTAAAGAATTTTATTATATATTTCTATGTTAAACTTTGGTCAGCCAGTGTGGCCCTGCCCAACCACCGGGGGTGGTGGTTGAAACAAATTTGAATCTACACTAACTGAGAATGCTTCCGTATAAATATGATCAATCATGGCTTTGCTATTCTTTAGTTTTTAATACATTTTTCCTACATATTTCAATGTGAAACTTTGCTCGGTCATTGTGGACGCTGCCAAGCCCCGGGTGTCATGTCATGATTTGAACTTGAATCTACACTAACTGAGGATGCTTCCAAATGAATATGACCAATCATGGCTTTTTTATTCTTGGGAAGTTATTTAAAGAATTGTCCTCTATATTTCTTTTTAAAACAATGGTCAGTCATTGTGGCCCCGCCCTACCCCTGGGGGTCATGATTTCTATAAACTTGAAGATACACTACCTGATGATGATTCCATATAAATATGACCAAACATGGCTTTGTTTTTTACTAATTCATAATTATGTCCCCTTTGAAGGGGGCATAGCCCTTCATTTGAACAAATTTGAATCCCCTTAACTAAAACATACTTTGTGGCAAGTTTTGTTGAAATTGGCCCAGAAGTTCCTGAGAAGACGATGAAAATGTGAAAAGTTTACAGACTAACGGACAGACAGAGGGACATACAGACTGACAGACGGATGCTGGACAAGATGTGATCAGAAAAGCTCACTTAAGATTTCAGTTCAGGTGAGCTGATAAACTGATTCCAAAACCAAACCTAATTCTCTTATTTGAGGTTTTATTATCCTACCAACTACAACACTGCTTGTTGAAATTAAACTTATATTTTTGGTCTACCTTCATTCTTTCTGTCTTGCTTTAATTCCAAGTTCTCTTCTTTTCCTTGTTCGATTCCACTTGTGCTCGAGACAGGATCTGAAAATTTCAATTGTTCTTTGGAAGAAACCATTCATCAAGCATGGGAAACAGTCAGTTATATTTTCATCATGAATAAAGTTCAATAATTTTAATTTACATTAGTTTCATTGCATCTAGTTTAAACTGAACCCAAAACTTAACCTCTAATTTGGAGTTTTATCATCCTACCACCTACAACATTGGTTGTTGTCTTTTGAATGAAATAAAAAGAATTCATATAGTTTGATAACTAATTGTTGATAAGCTTTGGTCTACCTTCAATCTTTCTTTCTTGCTTTCCTTTCAAGTCCTCTTCTTTTCCTTGCTCCATTCCACTTGTGGATGAGACAGGATCTGAAAATTTCATTTGTTCTTTTGAAGAAATCATTCATCAAGCATGAGAATCAGTTAATTATATTTTCACCATGAATATAGTTCAAACAATATTCTTTACATTAATTTCATTGCATAAAGTTTAAACCGAAACCAAATCAAAAACTCTAATTGGAGTTTTATCATCCTACCAACTACCACATTGCTTGTTGTCCTTTGAATGAAATTAAACAGAATTCATAAAGTATGATAACTAATTGTTGATAAGTTTTGATCTACCTTCTATCTTCTTTTCTTGCTTTTCTTTCATCTCCTCTTTTCCAGGTTTAGAGAGTCGAGATTCATCTATTAATTAAATATAGTTTAACTTGAAATCTTCCTCATAATTATTACTTACTCATGTTTCTAAGCGAAGAAATTATTTGTTTTGGATCATCATTGTATGAAAATCTAATGAAGTAATCAGTATGTGCTTACATTATTCTGTTCTTTCAGTGAGATTTAAGGGGTAAATATATTAAGGTTAGGATTGAGGTTAAGATTAAGGTTAAGGTTAGGGTTAGGGTTAATTTGATATAATGGTTTATGTAAAGATTTAAGTTTGGTACTAAGATCACATACAAAGTATGACTTGAGATTTAAAAGAAAACAAATTTACCACGGAATATATATATTTTGTGAATTAATTTTCAGTTTAATACAGTTGACGTAAAGAAGTTTTCAAGAGAATTGTCTATTCCAATAAATTCCCCTCATGGACAAAGTCAATATTTCATGACTCATATTATCGGGTCAAGAGAAGATATTTATTTATTTGCATGTTTCATTACGCAATTTTTACACTTCGGATCAGGGTCTTCACTGTGACCCTTTCAATACGGTATTACTTATATCTTCAACTTAAGTCATTTTCTCTTATTTATATCTCTAATTTTGATGATCGTTAAAACTACTTTATTTCTTATTAAATCGGTCATTTTTCAACCACATATTGAAGTTTGTTCTCATTCTAAGAAAATATTTTAATCTCCAGCATTAAAAAAAAAGATTCCTTTTCCTCTATTCCACTTACCGGGTTCTTCGACTTTCTTTGACATCTTCCTACTGTCTCGTTTAGTAAAATGGCGGCTCAAACCTACAAGTATGCACGTGACAATAAAAATAGAACTGACGTAAAGGTTCTGGAACTCTCTATGGTAAAATATCTCTCAGTAAAACTGGACCTACAATTATCACGTGATTTTTTTTTTTTTTGGCATTGACAAGATGCAACTGAGTTACAATAAAAGCCCCATTAGCCTACCCCTAACAAAGAGCAAAAGCTGCATCAATATGCTAATAAACATTCTTTAGAGTAAGAGTTGTACCAAACTGCATGATAGAAAAGAGGGGTTAGGGAGCGGCAGAGAATTATTCTTGTTATACGAAATGAAATTATTATTTTTTTTATTGTAACACTTGCTTCCTTGTGATTTCAATAATCTCTCTATATATCCAAACAAATGATTTCGAAGCAAGCTTTGGACAAAAGGGTATAAAATCTCAATATATACTAATATTTGACTCGAAAAGATCTGTAATTAATCAGCGACTTTCATCTTAAAAAAAAAATAAAAAGAGCTATAAAATGAACGATCCCATCGGGAATCGAACCCGGCACCCCTTAATCTGAAGTCCGCTGTTCTACCTACTGAGCCAAAGTGTATGATGGAAATGACGAAATAAACTTTAATAGTTTCGCTACACAAAGTATTTAAATTAAAAAAACAATAACCACGCCTACTGAAATCACGTGACAGAAAGTGACATTGACGAGATGGCT